TCACACCTGACAGTCCTGAGCTCATGGTGCCACTAAGACTGTGCTGTTTTCAGGCTCCCTCCTCTCCTTTCCATTCTTCTCATCCTCATGTTTCTCTGGGCCCAGATGATCTGTTTGCAGTTTGGATATTTAGATCTGCAGCCTTTAGTTTCAGAGTATGAATCCCCCTCCATTAGCTGTGAGCTGTGTTTAATGTTGGTGAGTGAGGGACATGAGGAGGGCTCGAATGAGTGGGTTCTCCTGTGGAAAAACAGCTGAAAAATCCCCCGGCACTCTGGTTCTGGTGGCTGGTAAAGCTGCCAACAGACAGGCTGGGATTTAAGGGGCACATTTTTGCAAATCAGCGTCTTCATCACAACACTGAGTGGAGAGAGGAGGAGGTGGAGGATCCGTGGGAAGATTAATGTGGCCTCTTCGCTCTCCTGAGTGCCAAGGTTCCTGAAAAGGATGAGGGTGTCACATCACTGCTTCTTGCTTCATATTTTTCCTCCTTTTGCTTGCTTTTCTCCATTGTTGCAATCATTAAGTGCTGCCATTCCTCGTGTCCCTCTTCCCTGTTGGCTGGGGATGCTGACTGTTAATTGAGCAGCACCTTATCTGCTTTTCAAGCTTCACAGATAAACAAACCATTTCTACATTAAAGTGCTTGATCCTCTTTTACCGTGATATTTTAAGACTTTCTTATCTTTCCCTGTCATAGAGGAAAACTTAGAATGCCCAAGCTTCTGAGGCCTTAGTTTGGTTTATAAACAGGCTCCAAAATAGCAGGGTTTGTACAGGACTCAGGTCCTGTCACTGGTTGAGGGGTTAATTTGAGTCTGGCCAATGTTGCAACAGATCTCTCCTTCCCAAGGCTTTTTGAATATTAATAATTCCTGAGTGAAACGGATCAGAGCTGGGAGCTGTGATAAACTCCCTCCAACCCGTGTTGTTGGTGTGTGTGTGTGCTCAGGCCCACACACCATCGCAGACATGCTTTGTTTATTCAGCTCCACTGTAAATGTGTTGTGTTTCCTTCTCCCAGAGTCAACACTTTCTGTGCACACTCCCGTGATGTGAAGTGGATTGTGTTTCCCAGAGCTGAGGTGGTTCTGTGTTCTGTGCCCCAGGCCAGGTACAAGCAGAGCCTGGACCCCACGGTGGACGAGGTGAAGAAGCTGTGCACGTCCCTGCGGCGCAACGCCAAGGAGGAGCGGGTGCTGTTCCACTACAACGGGCACGGGGTGCCCCGGCCCACCGTCAACGGGGAGATCTGGGTCTTCAACAAGGTGGGGCCCAGCTGCTGCCTCTGCCTCCTGCTCCCAGTTCTGAGGGGTTCTGCTGGGAGCAGCTGCATCCTGGGCTCACCGGCCAGCTGGTGGTGGAATCTGTTCCCAGCCCGTTCCCAGTTGGGCTGTTTGTTGTGTTGTTCCATGAGGAGGCACAGAGGGATGGTGGGAGCAGCCTGAGCAGAGCAGGAGCTTCTCCCTGCAAACCAAAGTCAGGGAACAAACCATCCCTGCCCAGCCCAGCGTCTGCCCAGGCAGCATCAAAGCATCACCCCGAACAAGCACGCTGCAAAACTCACCCTGAACAACCACACTGCAAAACTCACCCTGAACAACCACACTGCAAAACTCACCCTGAACAGCCACGCTGCAAAACTCACCCTGAACAACCACACTGCAAAACTCACCCTGAACAACCACGCTGCAAAACTCACCCTGAACAACCACACTGCAAAACTCTTAGTTAACACTCCTTTTTTTCTTCAGATTAGCTCATTTACATATCATTAGCAAATGTTGATGTTTTATGTGACCCCCACAGTAGAGTTGGAATATAAAATTCTCCTGGTTGGAAATACCACAGTATTAATCAGAGCTATAATCCAGTCTTGGCTAGAGCAAGATGCGTTAGAAATACGAGTTTAAAACAATCCATGCCCATAAAATGTCGTTGATTGGATGTGTCAGAGCAGGTTTTTTTATGTGTAACTTCCTGTGGTTGGAATGTGCTTCACGGGAGGGATGACCTTAAGAAAGGTCTGTGCTGAAGGGGAGCTGTTCATGCATCATTTCCATCCTGCAGTGATCTGCAGAGCTCCCAACTCCCAAAAACTTTGGCTTTTATAAACAATTTCTCCTGTTAATTTTAATAAAACAGCCGAAACTGTTACATATGGGCAGAAGTGGGTTTGGAAATGCTTTACCCCTCCCCACCTTACGTAACATATGGTTTATGATCCCTTTTGTCTTTATCGACGCTGATACGTGTCCTTGAAAATTTGATTTTTGTAAAAGTTTACTGGTTTTATTACAGCTATTTTAGGTCTTTTGAATTTAAATGGGAGTTATGATCCCATCCATCATTCTGCTGATGTTAATAGGAACGTCGCAGCTTTTCCTGAGGGTTTTGGGCCAAGCTCAGGGCTGTAGGAACGCCAGGTTGTCCTGGCCCTGCAGCTGGGAAGGATCCTGCTGGCAGCCACTGGGTGTTTGGTGACTCTTTGCAGGCAGAAATCTGCTTTGGTTTATTTTTTCAGCTCCATTAGTTGGCCCTTCATAGCTGGTTTTAAATGTCTGGTTTTTATGCTCTTGCCCCTGGTTATTTGGGGGCGTTAAGATGGGAGACACAGAACAAAATCCTCCCTATTTACAGAAAGGGAACTGTGGGTACTTCGCTCTGTCGAAGGCAGCTTTGTTGGTTTTAATTTTATTGGATAATTCAGAAAGTTGCACAGAAGTTAAAGCTGTAATAAAATTATGAAGCATCTCGTTAAGCTCAGGCGGGGTAGCGCTGATGGGCTGCAGGGGCTTAATTATCCTTCTTGATTTATTGATGGGCTTTTCAGTTTAGGATGTTTGATGTTAAATTAAAGACAGCTGGTTTGCATCCTTTATCAGTGTTGCAGAAATTTGGGATAAAATTGGACTATTAAATGCCTTTTGGAGTTGTTAGCACAAATCAGAGCTCTAAATACCTAATACTGAAAATGCCTGGTGGAGTTTGGGGCTTTTAGTTTGGAGTTGAATGTTTCAAACAATGCCACGATAAAATCTGCTCGTTGTTAGTGTTGACTTGGGTTCCCAGTCCTAGTTTTTGGTAGCTATTGCCTGATACTTGAGTTGATTAATATGGTCAATGTAGGTTTTATTTGGGGATTTCAGAATTGGAATTCTGTGGGTGTGTTTTGTTATCTCACCAGTTCAAGTTCTGTTGTTTCTCTGCCTCGTGGTAACTGGAGTGGGTGTTTTTCTCCTGCAGAACTACACCCAGTACATCCCACTCTCCATATATGACCTGCAGACCTGGATGGGGAGTCCTTCCATCTTCGTCTACGACTGCTCCAACGCCGGCCTTATTGTCAAATCCTTCAAGCAATTTGCACTACAGAGGGAGCAGGAGCTGGAGGTGAGAGCTCAGACTGCAGGGCTTTGCTGCTGTTCAGTGAACACAAATGAACTTTAAGCTTGCTTTGCTGTATACACTGAAAAATGTGTTTAAAACCATGTTGGAAGGCAAATTAATTTGCAAATAGCTTTGCCACTCCAATCTTTCTGGTTCAGTTTGCTATCCCATTAAACTTGGAATGGTTTTTAATACAAGCACTAATTAAATGTTAATGTTAATAGAATCAATTTGGGCCCTAATGGTCTTTTGTGCTGCAATGAATGCTGAGGTGAACGAGACATTTATTTCGGTTACAAAAGCCTGGTTTCTGGGGCTGTATTTGGGTGCAGTTATGGTTTTGTGCTGTTACAGTGAATGAGAAAATGTGAAACAACGAAAACCTCATCCGGAGGGATTGTCCTGTGGTGGTTCCAGTTCCACAGAGTGCTGGAGCTGAGTGTGTTCCCACTGAAAAGCTGTCTGTGGTTACAGATGGAATTAGTAATAAATTCATTGAAGTAAATCTGAAATGCAAAGTGGAAGGGAAGAGGTTGGATTTTTTGTGCAGACCCCCCTGCTGCCTTCAGCTTCCTGGGAGAGGACATTTGTAAAGGGTCACTTCTTACACTCCCACACCTCCGAGGTACTATAGGAAAAACCCCCCAAAACTTCAAGGAAGGAATGTTAATTAATCCAGCAACTGACTGTCACAAATACAGCCTCCAAGCAGATAGTAACAGTCCCCCTGGCTATAACTCCTTTCCTTCCAAATTCCAGTTTTTGGAGGGGCTTTTGTGGTGACTGTTCTTGGCACTTCGGTATTTCTGCTCTTGCAGCACAGGTTAAAACTACCAATTAATGTGATTATGAAAATACTTTCAGGCTCGTGTGGCAGCTGTTGGTTCTGTCTTTAGATTTCATTAACTCTGATGACTGACTGAGGTACCTGCTCGTGATTAATAGAAAGCAGAGTCGTGGCACCAGAGAGAGCAGAGTGCTCAGGGCGTCCTGCAGAGCGTGGATGGGAATTCATTTGGAAAATTATAAATTATCAAATTGTTCAAATTCATGAAAAGTGAAGTGAAGGTGGAACTGGTGCTCCAGAGGGGCTGCCAGAGTGATCAGGATAATTGTTCCTCATCTTCCTGCAAGGAGATCAAAGCAGTTTGCTGTTCTCTTAATCTGCCAGAGGGATTCTGATCTTTTGATTCCATATCTTGCCCTAATAAAAAGTTGTGTTTATGAGAGAGCCAAGCAGTGTAGAAAGCCTGAGTCCAGTGGATGCTCTAAGGATGCAAGAATAGCTGTTCATCGTGGGCTTTACTCAACCCTCTTTTTATCCTTTCTTTTTTTTGACCTGTACAGGAAGCTGTGTCCCATCACTGTCCTGAGCAGCCTGACAAGTCTGTAGTTGCTGCCTGCTCCTGTGTGTTCATTTATGGTTGTTAATTAATCTCCAGATATTTCCAGTGTGCGGGTCCAGTTCCTGTGGTTTGTCACACTGGGCAGAAGCTGGAGTTGAGCAGGTCCTGGAGCCTGAGCTGCTCCCCTTCAGACCTGGGGGGCACCACCAGACTGTGACAAACACCCTGAGTGTTTCAGAGTGCTCAGAGAGCTGAAAATCCCTCCAAATGTGCTTCCCTTAAGAGCCCTTCCTAGGGATGCCCCAAGGGCAGGGCTTTCTTCAGGGAGTGAACAGCCACAGCTAAGCAGTTTGACTGCTTTGTTTTTATACATCTGTGAGGAGCCAATGCTTTCCCACGCTGTCTCTCATGCCTTTCTCCTCAAATAAAAGAGCTTTGCAGTATTTTAATTACCTTTCATTTAGTTGTTGGCATACAGGGGGCTGGGACAAAAGGATCTTTAAGGTCCTTTCCCAAACCATTCCATGATAGAGCTTCAGTTTTATTGAGGGTGATGGCTTGAGGGTGCCTTCATTCCCCCAGGTACCTGTGGGTCTCTGCTGGAAGCAGCTCAGCTCAGCTGGGAGCAGAGACAGGGCCCAGCTAATTTAGACAACTGGAAAAAGCCAAAGTGTGTCAGTGCTGCCCCTGGGATTGGAATGGAAAAAATTACGTTTAAAGAATCAAAAAACTTGAAAGGTTGCAGAAAGTTCTCCCTGGCCTGTCAGGTTGCTTTGCCAGGTGGGAGGTGTGTGGCTGTGCCGGGCCCTGGGACTGTCACAGGATGTTCTGTTCCCTTCTGACCCTCTGAGGCACCAAATGGATTCTCTCCTCACACAGACAGAGTGTTTCATGTATCAGGGTGGTAAAGAATGAGTTTATCAGTCGACTGTATCCCCGTACTGAGCTGGCTGGAGGGTTGGTCTTTGGAAAAATGTGCTTCTGTCAGCTTTGGTAACACAGCTCATGGGTCACTGTGGTGGTGCTTTGCTTTCTGACTCCTACAGCAATGGGCAGTGAGGTGTTACACTGCACCCCCTCTTCCTTTAGGAACTTTTGAGTGCCAGAGAGCAACATTTTGGGTGGTTGAAGTGTTTACTTTGTTTACCTGGTTCAGAAAGGCACTGGAAAGATTATTTGTGTTTTCATTCTGTGAATTATTAGCCTCAAAAATCATATTCTTAGCCAAAATTTTAAATAGGAGCGTCACTGTGGTTTTGGAAAATGGCACTGTTGGTATACAGAGTATTTCTACTTTATAGACTGATGTTTGGACAGATTAAATACTTAGTTGAATTTTGTTAATTACATGAGTGAAAGCTGTGGCTGGGGGTACATTATTCCTTAACTTCTCTGAACCCAGAGCTCCATGGGGCACTGGCAGGTTGTTCCTGGCGATGTGGAAATGACCCCCGGGGGTTTCCTTGCTCCCTGCAGGTGGCTGCCATCAACCCCAACCACCCCCTGGCGCAGATGCCGCTGCCCCCCTCCATGAAGAACTGCATCCAGCTGGCAGCCTGCGAGGCCAACGAGCTGCTGCCCATGATCCCCGACCTGCCAGCTGACCTGTTCACCTCCTGCCTCACCACCCCCATCAAGATCGCCCTGCGCTGGTGAGTGACAGCCCTGCTCAGCCCTGCAGGGTGTGTGTGGGGCTGACAGCAGCAGGGAGGGATTTGTGAGTCCAAACCCTCCATCTGACCTGAGCTTTCCCTGCAGTGCTGAGCTACAGGCTTTGAGCTGTGCATTTGGGACAGCAGCTTATTAATCACACCTAGAAAGGTGAAAATATTGTTGTCTGCTGCTTACTACGTTTTAGTTTTCGACTCAGTATCAGGGTTCGCTCAGATTAAGGGATTTACTGTTCTGGGAATTAAATATCTGCTTCCTCAGAGAGCAGGAACAGTACATAGTGCAGCACAACTCGTTGTAAACTGTCCTTTGCACAAATCATATTCCACATATTGCAGTTGCTGTAAATAATGCAGCAGCATTAAACAGTGCTGGAGTGGAAGGAAGGGAATGATAAACCCAGGAAAGACGTTCTGGAATGACAAACCAAGTTAATTAGGCAGAAAGTTAGAAAAGGCTGCTCCAGGGAGCAGGAGCTTTCCAAGAGCAGTATTTTACCCAGTGACAGGGACCACAAAGGCCTGTGGTGCCAGGGGGGCAGTCCAGTGCCCCCAGGCTGTGCAGAGCTCTGTTCCCTTGGGCACATCTCACCTGCTCCTCAAGGCTGTGTCTGGTCCAGAGTGGAAAAACTTCAGGGCATTTGCTGGATGGGGTTAGAACAGGCAGAAGCCTCTGGACACTGCACATGATGGTGAGGAATTGGCACCACAGCTCCAAGAGTTATTTGCTGCCTTTTGGAGATGTTTGTAGTAAATTACAATTCTTTGTGCTCTTTCATGTCAGCAGCAAACTGAATGAGTTCATTTGGCCAGGTTCTGCTTTGGGTACGTGGTGCCTTTGGCTCTCTTTGCTCCCGTGAGGGGCAGCACAAAGCCTGTTGAGTTTTTTGTCCTGTTTTTGATGTCATGAGCTCCCAAGGTGTTTTCTCATGGAAGCTTTTAAACACTGGCAAAATTCCCTAGGGGGACTTTGAGAAATACTGTTTTGTAAGTAGGAAAATATGGCTTCAGGGAACTACTTTTATTCATTAAATTTTGTGAGGATCCCTCACATGGGCTTTGGTGCCTGTTGGAGATGAACTAGTTCATGGCACACTGGAGCTTCAGAAGTGAAGTGGAAGGGATTGGTGTCAGGGTTCTCCTTCCCTTCAGTTCCCAGACTTGACAGTTTCTGCCAGATTTAAAGTGAAAATGCTGAGGCTCTGTAAGAGAGGTTTTTCGGTGGGTTTTGTTTGTTAGATGTACTAAGAAAGGGTTTTTTTCAGATATTATGATCTGTTCAGGAATTTTCTGTTCCTTCATCTCCATGGGAACGTGGCTGAGGGGGTGAGCAGGGCAGGTTCTCAGCACAGCTACACCTGCTGTGGGCACGACAGATCCTCTGGGCTCCCTCTTGTTGGTGTTTGACAGGGAACACGTTTGGGGAACTGTGGCTCAGGGGAAGGATTTAAACCCATCACCCTCAGCAGGTCAGGGGCTGATGCTGGAAGGTGCCATGTGAACTCCTGGATGGGGAAGCATTTCCTGCCACCTAATCCAGTGACTGTGTCACTCACTGCATGCACAGAAATCCCTCCTCTGTTCTCCCATGAACATTGTGCTCCCAGTTGACTGTCATTATTGCAGGTGTGGGTTTATCCCATGCAATCCTGTAAATAATAAGTGCTGCTTGTGGAACATTGTTTTTCACCAACGTTAGACACAATATATGCAAAGCCAGATCCTCTGCTGCATTCCAAGAGTTTGATCCAAACTGTATGTTGGTGCCCTAAAGCAGTTAACCAAAAATAAACACAGAAACCTTCACCATTAAAACTTCCCTTTTCCTTCAGTTCAGCCCTTTTCCTGAAAGGAATTGCTTTCAAAATACAACTTTTTTGTAATTCTGGACTGATACTCTAATGATGTTTCATATATGGAATTTATGGGCAAGTGAAAGTTTGGTGAATAAATGTTTATCCATCCCATTTTGTGCCCTGTGGAAACTGATGGACAAAATCCCTCATGAGCCAGAGCTGCAGTTGCAGCCACTTCAGTCTCATTTCAGGGGAAGAAAAATTGATGCTGGGCAGAGAAACCCAGGTCAGCTGTGCCCTTCTGGGTGTGGTGTGTGGAACTCCTGATGCCAGTCTGCAATTCCAGGAACCTGGAGTGTGGATCTCGGCTGCCTGGCTGCTGATTGTCCTGGTGTGTGGTGACTGCTGTGAGCTGACGTATTCCAAATATATCCTGTGACTATATAAAGCTGTGTGTGAGGCGAGCCTGGAGCTGAGCTGCATGGATTGTTAATCCTGACGGATGGCACTGTCGGGAAGCAAATGCGGATATTGAGGGAACAGGCAGGAACCCGGGTGTTTGGTGCCCTGTTTTACGCAGGTCTGAGTGTTTCACGTTGGCTAAAGCAAAAGCAGCTCCCCTGGAAGTCGTGCTCAGGGGTGAGTCATGTGCCTGTGTTTCCATCAGTCCTGGAAGGTGTTAATAAGCTGCAGTTATAGATCCGGAATTCCACGTGTGGGAGCGAAGGCTGCGCTGGTCCGGGTTGGCTTCAGGGCCTTGTGGCTTTGAAATGTGAAATCCTGCTCAGAAACAGTGAGGGGGCTCCTGAAAAGTGCTGGAAGCACCCCAAACAACAAGAAGCAAAAAGTTTGGGAGCTGCTCAGCCTGGGGAATTTGAGATGTGCAGTTTGTACTCCCGAACACCCATAACAGCAACCTGGGAGGGCAGGGCAGAGGACGGGAGCTGTGGCAGCTCATGTTCTGTTGGGTCAGTTCAAACAAACGTTTTAAGTGTTTTGGTTGGTTTTTCTAACATATTTATTTTGCATTTCGGCTTGAGATTTTGGGGGTTGGCTCAACCAATCCTCTGTCCCACGTTGATTTAGACAAACTACCCTGAGTTTCAAAGTCCCAGGAGGGCCGACGGCACCTTGGTTTCTGGGTTTCCTTTGGTGCTGCCGTTCCCTGGCCTGTGTTACCTGCTGTGTGTGACAGTGGCACAGCCCCCGGGCGAGACACCACGTGTGCAGCCTCCCAGCCATGGAGGGGGTGCAGACACAGGCGGGGGAACATCTTGTTTACCAGTACATTTTCTTGGCAGTCGGTGCTTGCTGGAGAGGCTGCTCCTGCTTCAGTGGGAGTTTCATGGACTGCTCTGTTTCCAAATATCCAGGGCAGTGGGGAGAGCTTTGGCTGCAACAGAGACATGGAATGATGGGATGGTTTAGGTTGGAAAGGGCCTTAAAGCCCATCTCATTCCAGCTCCCTGCCATGGGCAGGGACACCCTCCACTAGACCAGGTTGGTCCCAGCCCTGTCCAGCCTTTCCCTGGACACTTCCAGGGACACAATTCTTTAGAGACAGCCCATGTGTGACAGGGCAGAGCTGTGCTGCTCTCACAGTCCTTCCAGACACCTTGTGATGTGGAGGCACCGAGAGGAGTTAAAGTCTTCCAGCCCCCCCAGTGTGCAGGGAGGCTCCAGGCTGATCCCAGTGACCCAGTTCTGCCTGTGCCTGTGTTTGGGAGGGAATTTCCCTGCCTGGTTCTGTAATGCACTGTCGTAAGAATTTTATATTTCAGCAGATTGCAGAGGGATCCCACTGCAGGTTCACGGGTTCTTTATGGCTCCTTTCTGTGCTGGATGACGCAGACATCAGGAAAGCAGCCTGGGGACCACTGAGCCTTCCAGAGCCTATCCCCGTCCTTGCCTTGGCAGCAAGGGATGCCCTGCTGGCAGGGAATGCCACAGGAAATCCAGAGGGGCCTCAAGGTTTCAGAAATGGGCTCTGCACACCTTGTCCTTGATAAGTAATTGTTCTCTCCTTTACCTGGGGAGGAGCCTTTTGGATGTGGGTGATGTGGCTCTGGTGAGGTGAGGCTCCTGCTGCAGCAGCTGGATGCAGGAGGTGGGATTGCTGGGCTGGAGAGCCCTCCTGGTCCCACAGAGCTTCCTGGTCCCTCCCAGAGCTGTGTGACGAGTGCAGTGTTGGGGTAAATGTCAACTGAGATTACACTGAGGGCAAAATTCTTCCTTGAACAACAGAGAGTGGATTTCTGAAAGACTGGGCCAGTGGTGCTGGGAATGTGGTGCTGGCACTGAGGAAGTCATGTCTGGGTTTCTGTCCCAGAGCTGTTGTTCCTGCTCTGCCCTCTGCACCTCCAGGGGGTCTGCAGGAGGGGAAGGGTGCTGGGAATCCGGGCCAGCAGCCATCTCCCCTTCCCACACACGCCTGTGCTCGGCAGCCTTTGGGATTTTCCAGGCCCAGCCAGTGGCACTGCCAGGACTCGGCGTTTCCCCGGGCTGGTGATCCTGGAGCAGTGGGATTTGTAAAGCTGAGGAAACGGACTCAGCAGTTTTTTTAATTAAATAACGGAGGTGTCTGAACCTGACACATCCCTCCCGTTGCCTCCCTTTCTCCCTTCCCTGCCTGCAGTGCCACGTCTCTTCAGGGAAGCCCAGCCAACGCTGATCATTATTCCAGCAGCACAATCCTCCCCAGCTCCGTGTCGTCGTGCTGCTCCCAGGAGACCGTGCTGGATGCCTGGGAGCCCTTTTCCCCCGCTCTGTGTTGGAAAACTTGTCACCGTGACAGTTACAATGCCCCAGTTTTGACACCTGACGATGGAAATCGCCGCATAATCACGAGTGTGACAAACACTGAGGGCCTTGTTTGGGTCTCATTATGCCGTGCCAAAGTTCCCTACCCAAACACCGTTTTAAAAGCAGAAGCAGTGCAATAAAGAAACCTCCTTCCACATTCTCTCCACAGAACCTTGTCATTAAACAGTCAATTAGTGTGTTTTATTTCACTCTCTCCCCAGGTTCTGCATGCAGAAGAGTGTCAGGCTGGTGCCAGGAGTCACGCTGGATTTAATAGAGAAGTAAGCCAAATTTTGTATATATTTTCTTTTTTCCCTGTTGCTCCTTAGTTCCTCATTATTTCTTGCATTCCTCTCGTTTGTCTGTGAGGAAATTTCTTTGGGAAGCTGTTCAGAGCCTGCACCTGCAGTAATTGTGGTGCTGAAACAAGCAGTGGCCATGGAAATAGGGAGCTGCTGGGGGGAGATCTGGCTGTTCTGAGCACATTCCATGCTCTGGAACGTGCTGCCAGCCTGGAGCAGGCAGGAAATGGCCACTGCAGGCACAGGTTGGGATTGTTCCTGGAGAGCCCAGTGTAGGGGAGGGTTTGCCCATGGGAGGGTTAAGCTCTGCAGCCACATCCCCAAACCCAAGTGAGGGACAGTGAAACAACCAGAAATCATTTGTCACTTGTCACTGTGCTGTCCCCCTGTTCTCTGCCTGACAGGGATGTTGCATTTCAGATTTAGCACCACTGAAACATGTTATAATCCTTTTTTCCAAGCGATATTGGAGCATAATTCCTGGTTGTCAGGCAGCTGAGGCAAAGTGATTATCCAGGACAACTGTTCTTCAAACTCTGCTTCAGTTTATGCAAGCAAGGGAGATTTTGAGATATTAATAATAATTGCTCTCTGTAGTCTTTGCTGGTTTTGAAGATTTTTTGGTTTGTTTTTAAAGACAGTGCAGGCAGCCACTGGATGCAGCCACTGGATGCAACCTGTGCTCCCTGAGGGTTGTTTTGAATGCCCTGTTCTTGGAGCATTGATACACACACAAACTGGGGGTGATTAATTAAAGATAATTGTTCAATTCAGAGAAATCCTGACTGTAGAAACACTGTTGTTGGGGTTAATTAGAGCTCTTGTGACACGGGGATGTCCAGGGCACGGTTCTGTGTTTGGCTGAAATCAAACTGCAGCACTAAAGGGTGTCCTGACAGGGGTTGGGAGAACAGGAATGTGGATGACAAGTGCCTGTGAGTGCTGCCAGCCCTTCCACACAATTGTGTTGGACCAGCCAGGCCCATCAGTGCAGTCAGAGGTGTTTAGTCACACTAATTTTATATGGGAAAATTGGATTTTCTGCTCTCAGCTGGGGAGGATAAGGGGTGATTTGTGGAAAGCTGTGTTTCAGAGACCCTCATCAGACCAAAATATCAAAAATGTCAGTTTACAGCTAAAAGAGCAGAGGCAGCCCCTGTCTCTCAGAGGAGGTGTCAGAGTGGTTTTCAGAGCCAGGCCAGTTGAGGAGAAGATCCACCCCTGGGTATCGTTTCCTTTGAAAGCTGGGGTGAAAATGTGCTGGGGTTTGGGTCTCTGTTGGTTGTAAGGAGATGGGAAGCAGGGAGGGAATCTCCCTGGGGTTAACCCTGCTGTGCCTGGGTGTGCTGACAGGGTTTGGTGATGCCAGGAGGGCTCAGCACCAGCCTGGACTGAGGTCAGCTTCAGCCACTGCATTAATGTGGGCAGAACAAGGACTCTGTGATGTTAATTGCAATTAACATATTGCTACAAGAGTGCCTCTCATCAGAGGACATGTGGTGAGGTCAGTGAAGGTCTGAGCCAGGCAGCTCAGAATCACCCTCCCAGAGCACTCAGATGTGCTGCTGAGGGTTAAATAATCTTTAAATAAAGATTTACTGGCACAAATAGACTTCCCTTCAATATTCTTGGCCTGTGTTGGTTGGTGCCACAGCACACGTGTGTGTGTTCCAGGCTGTCTTCAGGGAAAACCTACCAGGAGTAGGTTCCTGTGGATATCAAATATTTAAACCTCATCATCTTAATCTTCTCCATATATCAATTATAGAAAACGCAGATTTTTATTGCATCTCGAGATAGCCCTGGAATAATTCCTGGATTGCCTGTGTGTATATTGTAATTTATAATTTAGTTGTCTTTAGAACTGGGGAAAGAGTTTATATTGCAATTAAGCTGCAGACTTTGAGGCTAAATTGAGCTGCACCTTCTCTGAAGGGCTCCAATTTCTAATTATCCAGGCTCAGCCCACGCCCTGATGGGGGAACGTGTGGTGGATCCTGATGTGCCTTTGTATCACTGATCTTCTGAGATGGAGCCAAAATAATCCCTAGCTTAGAAAGAAAGATCTTTTCCAGAGCCAAGCAGCAAAGTGTAAAGGAAAAAAGAAGGAAAATTATGTTGGTGGAGGACTGGGAATTTGGGACCCTCTGGCTGCTGCTTCCTGAGACTCTTGGTTGTTCATGTTCCTGCTGCCCTGGGTGGACTTTTCTGTTTGATCCCAAGACTTCAAATCATCTGTGCTGGGGGTGTGACTGCTGAGTGACATGAACTGGGCTTTGTTCTACCCTTTAAAAATTTTGGAAAACCCCCTAAAGTATGGGTTATGAATCCATTGGTAACTGAAATACAAAGCAGGGTGCCAGGAATGGGGGATGTACAAGGGTGCTTTAATCTCTATTGCTGCATTGGCCCACCTCTCCTGAAATCCTGTTCTCAAGGGATCAGGAATGGTATATTGCTTTCCTGGGATTTTTTAGCTGGGGTCTATTGTGCAGAAGGAGGGAATTCTCTAAACAAAAATCCCCCGAGAAGGGGAAAAAAAAAAAAAAAAGCCCTGAGAGCTGATCCTGCTTCTGGTGGGGCCATTTAGCAGAGAGTCTGTGGCTTGGCAGAACCCACCAGGATCCACAACCAGGTGGAGAAAAGCATTTGATGGAAGGAACAGAGATGTTATTTTCAGCAGGACTGGGCAGGGATGATCCTGTGGCTGATGGTGGTGGAAGGCAGTGAGAGCCGTGCTGTGACAGGCCCCTGGCTGGGCTGGGGCACCACAGACACACTGGGGAGGTGTCTCTGCAGATGTTTAATCAACCATGTGCTGGTCCAAGCTCTGAAATACTGCAGCCTTTTTTTTTAATATTCATTATTTTATTTCTAGTGGGAAGACAATAATTCATAGGTTGCCTTCAGACCCAGGTTAGGTTCAGCCCCTCGATTTTCTTCTAGAAAATTCAGTGCAAGGCATCAGAGCTTGTTTCAGTGTGTGTCAGGAGGTGCTCTTGGCCCTGGTGTAGCAGGGCTGCTGTGCCCCCCTGGCCGTGGGGAACATCCCTCAGTGGTGCCTGTGCTGAGGAGGAACTTGGCTTTTGAAGATGTTACTCTGCAAAGTTTCTCCCCTGCAGTCAGTCAGGTTTGATTGCAGTGCAGTGTCTCGTTTCATCACCGTTGTTTTGGGGTCTGTGTAGTGCAGGCAGAGCCTGTTGTGAATGCAGAGTGAAGATCCTGCTCAAAGACCTGGTTTTCATGGCAACACTCCTTTCATATCCCCACCTGGAGCTGCCAGGATCTGTGTGAGGCTTTGCAGCTCCCCAGCAAGGCAGGGGAGAACCTCAAACGCTTTGTCCTTCTCCAGTGCTTTGCCAAGGTTTCAGCAGCCCAGGCACAGCACACCTGGATCACCCCTGTGATCCTGGGATGGGAAGGGGTTGTCTTGGAGCACAGCAGTTGTGGTGATCCTGGGATGGGAAGGGGTTGTCTTGGAGCACAGCAGCTGTGGTGATCCTGGGATGGGAAGGGGTTGTCTTGGAGCACAGCAGTTGTGGTGATCCCGTCCGAGCAGCTCTTGCCAGCTCAGGAGATTTCACACAGAATCCCTGAGGTTGGAAAAGACCTTTGAGCTCCTGGAGTCCAACCTGTGCCCAGTCCCCACCTTGTCCCCCAGCTCAGAGCCCTGAGTGCCACATCCAGGCGTTCCTTGGACACCTCCAGGGGTGGGCACTCCCTGGGCAGCCCCTGCCAAGGCCTGAGCACCCTTCCAGTGCAGAAATCCCTCCTGGTGTCTGAGAGCTGCCTCGGAAGTTGCCACCACGTGGTGTAAACCAAGTGTTTGGCTTCTCGGGGAAGCTCAGCAAGGATCCCTTTGGTTTCCAGCTGACCCCCCGTGGCTTGGGGAGCTCTGCTGTGCTGCAGAGGGTGTTCTGCAATGCAAATATTGACGGGGAATCCTCACCACAGCACTCTGTGGCCTCGTGTTCCCCGCGCTCGCTCCGGGGGATCCATTAGCAAACACTGCTGCAGAGATGGATATTTTTCCTCTGATACTGAGACAGACAGGAATTTTTTATAAGATGTTAATTTCCAGCTGGTTTAGAGCTGTGTTTATCCAAGGGATTGTGCTGCATCTGACCCTGCACGGGAATGGTGCTGCTGCACATCAGGGGTGAGTGGCCATAGAGAAACTTCCTCTGTTTGTGTTGATACTTTAAATATTTAAAAACTTGTTACAGAAGGGAAGTTTAGTTAAATTAGGATTAAATCCATAGAACGTCTTACTGTGTTGGTGCATGTTTGTGAAACTTTCTCATCCCATTCCTGTTACTTTCTCCCAAGGAGAAAAGCTGTGCTTGGGAGTGCCAGGCTGTATATTTTATACTGTATATCTGATTATTGATAAGGCAGCCCAGGGCTGAGTCTGCTGATCTGGGTTTGTTGGGTGATTGGGGTTTTTTCTTCATTTTTTCTTGTCTTTGTTTTTACGAGGAGCAAATAAACATTCAAAAGCTTGTTTGGGAAAGCTGATCAGGACAAAGGCAGAAACTCAGGACAGTGAACAGCAGTTCACAGCCACTTGTGTTCCTGGATGTGTGTGTGTGTTGATCCTGAGTCACAGCAGGCTGTCACCTGGGCTCTTCCATCACAGAAATCAGGTTGCCTGTTGGTCCTCTGGTTTCTTCTCATATGAGAAGTTTGTTCAGCTCTGGGATGAAAAAATTTGAATTACTTTTTTCGACCTGCAAAAACAAAGTCCTGGGCTCTGGAAGAGCAGGACTGCTGGTGGAACACTGCTGTTCTTCACTGGCTGTGCCTTGGCCAGGCTGTTGTCTCTGATGTCTCTGGTGTTGATGCTGAGGAGAATAACTGTGAAGCCCAGAGGAGACTCTTAGTTCCTCCTCTCTGACCTCCTGTGTGTCTCAGGCTGCCCAGTGTCACTGGGTCACACAGCTCGTGCTCCTCCGAGGTGTCTGTGTCTCAGCCCTCTGAGATGAGGGTTGAATCGCTTCCCTTTCATGGTCAAGTGCTCTTCTTTCTTTCTTTCTTTCTTCCTCTCCTTGTGTAAGGTATTTGTTGGCACCAGGATTTCTCTCTTGTAGGTGCTTATCCACAACGTTCACATTGTTCCTCAGTAGAATGACCTTAAATTTCTCACTCTGTGCCACTGATTCGGTTTTTAAAGCTTTTTCTGCACTGTCTGTATTCTGTATGTCCTGTTTTGACACTTTTTAAATGAGTGCCAAAATGGGAATACTTGGCAAAACATTCTGGTTTCAGTCTGGGCAGTGCAAGGCTGAATTTCCTCTGCCCACTGCTCCCTGCCTGGGACATGAGCTGTGCCCAGAGCCCTGGCTGCTACCAGGGCTTGGCTTTTGTGGCTGGATTTACCACGTGATGAGTGTCCATGGAACATGAAAATGTTACAGCAAAGAGTTCCTTCACCTCCAGATCCCCCTGAGGAGGGTTTGGAGGTGTGCACGAGTCTGTCTCAGAAACACGGTTTTTACCAGGAAACTGATGTGGGTTTTTTCCCCTCCCTTGCAGGATTCCTGGAAGGCTGAACGACAGGAGGACTCCCCTGGGAGAGCTGAACTGGATCTTCACAGCCATCACAGACACCATCGCCTGGAACGTCCTGCCCAGGGGTACGAGGGGCAGGGGCAGCAGGGGGGCACAGCAGGGGCAGGCTCAGCCAGAGCAGGTGAAAATGAGACACTGAAATGGGGAGAAAATTAAACCCTCATATTGGAAGAACAGATCAGGCCTGGTCTTAAAGCTGGTTAATTTTTTATTTCTTCTTTTACCCGATCGTTAGAACCCAGAAAGGGTTTTTCTGTGCCAACACAATTGTTTTAGCTTGAATAATTCTCTTTCTTACTGTATTTGCAAAGAGCAATCTGTTTTCTTCCAGGCTTACCATAAATAAAGGGTTTTTTTCCTCTTTGCTGGTAAGGCAGTTGTGTTTCCCATGAGTAACTTCATCCCATTCTCTACCCCTGTTCTGAATTGGTACTTCTGGAGCACAGGCAGCCAAATTTGTAAACAGTTCTCCAACTCTGCTCTTCCTAATGCTCACACAGCATCAATTCTTCTCTGTCCTGTAGAAGAGAGCACATTTGCTATCTTTTAGGATTCATTTTGGCTTCTCATAAGCGCATCAAACTGCCAGTTAACAGATGGATAGTTCTTGATTAAACAGTACACAGAGGTCCTGTTCTCCCTCAGTAATTTTCCAAAAACTTAGTCAGGCTGAGCTGAAGTGAAAAAGCAAAAGGGGGGATTTTATCCAGAAAAGGCAAAAAAGAACCTGAGGTAGAAAGTGTTTAATTGTGTTGGTGTGAAATGCAGAGGAGCTGCAGTGCAGGTAGAGTTTAACAGCGGGTGTGGCACTCCCTGCAAAGCTGCTGGAGATTCCTCCTTCCTGGAACAAAATATTAACGGGGCTTTGTGTTTTAAACCATCTTTGCACAGTACCTGAGGTGCTGCAGGTGTGCATCCAGTAACTCCTGCCCTCTCTTGGCAGATCTTTTCCAGAAGCTCTTCCGGCAGGACCTGCTCGTGGCCAGCTTGTTCCGGAACTTTCTCCTGGCCGAGAGGATCATGAGGTCGTACAACTGCACCCCCGTGAGCAGCCCCCGGCTGCCCCCCACCTACATGCATGCCATGTGGTGAGTGACACAGGGGCAGGGGTTGGCACTGCTCAGGGTTAGGGGGGATGTTGGGAAGGAATTCCACCCTGGGAGGGTGGGGAGGCCCTGGCACAGGTTGCCCAGAGAAGCTGTGGCTGCCCCTGGATCCCTGGAAGTGTCCAAGGCCAGGTTGGACGGGGCTTGGAGCAACCTGGGCTAGTGGGAGGTGTCCTTGCCCGTGGAAGGGGATGATCTTTAAGGTCCCTTCCAGCCCAACCCATCCCATGACTGTGCTGCAATCTCCGCAGTGCTTCCCTGCTTCACTCAGTGGATCAGGAATGGAACAGCTTGTGGCAGCCTAATGCTCATCTCCAAAGCTGCTTCTGCTCTGTGCATCCCTAATTATCCTGTAATTCTGTGGTGCAGAACCTTCAGTCCAGCCATGCCATCTTTCACTCCAAATACCAAAGAAATGGGTCATCTGCTGCCTTTATTTTCCCAGGGTAAAGCTGGTCCCCTGGGATTGTGCAGGGTGGGAAGATCCTTAACTTGCATTGCTGAAGTAGAAGAAATTTTTGCTGCAGAGTTCGTCTACTTTTACTGTTGCTTTTAAGATGATTAATGGAAATGGAGGTGGCACAGTTATCAAAATGCTCTTAAATGTAGTTCTGACGATCAAACAAATGTCCCGTGAACAATCATAATAAAAATAATAATAATAACAGTAATAACAAAAAATGCTCACTTTTATTTTCTTACTCGGTGTGATTAATAGAGCAGCACCAAATTGGGCGAAGCACAAACTGGTGCAGTGAGTCTGATGGGGTCCCTGGGGGAGAGAACAGAGCCTTGCTAAAGGCTGATAAAGTGACAGTAAAAGGTAACTGAGGGGGTTTAACCTGCCTGCATTTTCCAGGATCCTTTTAATAAATTTCCTTCATAAAAATATGGAGGAAAATGAATGTAGAGGAGGGATGAAGGGATGACAGTGTAACAGGGAGGTCAAATTCTCTGAGCAACCTGGTTCTAGTGGAAGGTGTCCCTGCCCACGGCAGGGGTGGAACAAGGTGAGTGTTAAGGCCCCTTCCAACTCAACCCGTTCCATGGTTTCTGTAGGGAATGGAGGCAGGCTGGCAGCAGGGAGCCCCAGGAGCCTTTGCAGGTGCAGGCAGCCACTGAGGAGGCATTTGCTGGTAGCACAAAGCTGCTTTAATTATTGAAGTCCTGGAGGCAGCCGGGGAGCCTTTGGCTGGAGTTGTCAGCACTTGGGCAGCTGAACCTTCCATGTGCTGGGATGTGGCAAACCATGTTCCTTTGGATCAGGAGCTCCCGAGGAAAATGGCTTTTGTCATTTGTACCTGGGGTGAGTTGTTTTATCAGTGTCACACCAGGGACTGGGACACTTAAAACTGGAGAGCAGGAAAAGCCACTCAGGTTCCCGTGGTGTCTTTGAGCTGCTGGTGCTGCTGGAGGTGGCAGAGCTCGAGCCATCAGCTGCTGTTTCCAGTTGCAGGAGGGTAGAACGTGGTGTTGCAGGAATTTTGAAATTAAGCCAGTAAATTTCTGGATTTATTTATATCTTCCTTGTTACCAGCACATTAAAACCCTATATTTTCTGTCCCTTATAGGAATATAATTCATTCTTATTACCAGCCTGTTAAAAGCCTGTATTTCTGGCTTCCTGTGGGAATATGACTTGACCTGGAGTTGGTGTTGCCATCCATGGGCTGAACCCCAGGGAGAAACTGGGAACACCTGGATCCTGTTGTGTATCTCTCCCAGAGCTGCATGGCAGCACGATGGAGTCTAGAAACACATTTGCTTTGTCCATGTTGTAGTTCTCCTGGAGCCGGATGGTGCTGGAAATTCCTTTGTGAAGGTGCAGGATGGTGCTGGAAACACCTTTGTGCAGCCCCTCGGAGCTTCCATGGGATAATGGCATTGGAGCTGGTTTTTTTAGGATTCACCAGAAGAAATTCCTTAAGAACAGTCACACACAGGGCTCTTTTCCTTGTGAATCCCAAACACTGGTGAAGTTGACAACAAGGGAGCAGAGGATTGACACACTTTGTTCCGTGTCCTCTAAAAAACGTGCAGTTTGAAGCAAATCCAGCAAAGGGGAAAATTCCACGTTCGTCAGAGGTGGCTCAGGGCATTATCAGGAACTTTTAGTAAGGACAGATTTAGAAACTAATTTAGGGCTCGCTTAAATGTTTTCTAAAAATAGTCACCTTCCATTCAGGAATTTCCTAATGGATCACGGATCTGAAACCTCCCAACCCATTTTGCTGTTTGGATGAACTGGGTGATGTGATGGGGGCAGGAGAGTTGGGCACAGGGGTGCTGGAGAGGATGGAAACTTCCAACAGAGTGATGTGATGGTCGTGTTGAACCGGTGTCCAGGTCACTGTGTGGTGCATGGTGCAGCAAGGGCTCCTGACTGCTGCCTTATGGAGACTTTTCCTGCATTTGTGACCCCCAGCATGTCAGGCAGTGTTATGGGGAGCGAGTCCTGGCTGCCACAGCAGGATCTGCAAGTGGTGGGAGCAATGCTGCAAAGAATTCCTTACACTTGAGCATCAATTTACCTCCTGAATAATTCCAACTGCCCTTTTTTAGGCATTAAATCTCAACCATTTGCTCTCTTTCTCCTTTACTGACCCATGTCCCTACCTGTCAGATACTTTCCCCCAGGTCACACTTGGGTGTCTCCTGATCTGGGGATCTGGCACAGGTGTAACAGGAGGACTGAGGCTGCTGGAGGAATGAGCTGCTCTGCCTTTGGGTTTGGTCCTCTTGAAAACAGCTTTTTAAAATATTAACCTAGTAAGTTGTTGTTCTGATCAATTCATTTGGGAAATCAGTCTTATCCTCTGATAAGGATTTTACCCAAACAGTTGAGAAAAAGTGAGAACTTTCATTTTTTCAGAGACCCACAATCTTTCTTTCACCAAGAGGGCACCATATTTCAGGGTCAGGAGAGCTGATCTCTGTGACCATGCCCTCTTTGGTGGGATCTGACATGTTACTTCTGTTTTTTCCTATTCTTGGCCTTCTGAGTTTTCCCTGCTCAGCTGTGAGCCCCTGGGGCACGGGCTGGTTGTGTTTGTGTGGTGCCTCACACTGCAAGTTCTTGGCTGCTGCAGGCACTGCTCTAACACAGGATTAATGTGAATATTAATATCTCTTGACTGCCTGGCCGTGCTGCTCAGCTGTGAGTCCTTCTGGCTGGTGTGCATGAGAACAGAGCCCGGGTGCTCTGTCAGCACCTTGATCTCTGCCCTGATGGATCAGGGTTTGTGCATTGCTGCTGTTGCCAGCTGGTTTTATTCATGGCCTTTGAAAAGCCCTGGTAATGTCTTTGGAAATATTTCCTAACACGGGTCATATATTAGACCCCAAGTACCTTAATTATGGTTTGGAAGAACTGCAATTCATCCCTAACAGAAATACTCTGATGGTTTGTACACAGACCGTGAAATTCAGGTTGAAAGGGAGTCATAATAAAGCAAAAGAAAAGGAAACCATAGTGCAGCAACTCAGAGGTGAGAGAGGAGTCCTGGAGCACTGTGAGTGTGCAGGATGGATGCAGGGCTGCTGAGCCATCCCTTGGGGAAGTGAGGCTCACTGAGCTGCACCGAAACACTCAGTGTCTCAGCAAGAAGGTGGTGATTGTTTGAAGAGGTATTTGGAACTGTTTGACCTTTGGAGGATTAGATTAATTCAGATTATGCAGTAACCAGATTTTTTTGTGTCTTTGTGTTAGTTTTAACATCTCTGAGTCCCATTATCGGACTACGGAGAGTTCGATGGGGAGAAATGTGGCACAAAAATAGCAAAGCCTGAGCTCTAAGTTGTGTCTGGAGCAGGGGGATGTGCTGGGAGAAGGCAAGGATTTCAGAGTTGTGCCAAATATTCATAGCAATAACCGTTTTTTAAAAATAGCTGTGTCTGAGCAGCTTCCCAGCTGTGTCCTAAAGCAGCTTAGGAAGGTCCCGGGGTCACTGCAACGCAGGTGAACTCGGGCTGGAATCTGGACATTCAATCAGACAGGACGTGTCCTGCAGTTGTACTGACAGAAAGAACAAATGTGAAAAGCCTGCAGTACTTAAGGGTTCCAGAAATACAACTCAGAACAAGGAGACACCCTGGGCCCGACCCCAGGACTGCACGTGGCCTCGGCTCCCCTTCAGCTGCTCCCCAGCAGAAACACTCCTGTTCCCTGCTCCTGAGTGCAGAGCAGTGTGATACACACGACTCCCAGAGGAAAGGAGAGTGTTAAAAGATGTCAGGAATACATTATAAAAAAAAAGGGACATGAGAGTTAAAAGCATTAGACATTGAGTCAGAAAATGTGTGTGTAGAAAATGTGCCTCCACGAGCTGCCAGCTCAGGGGGCCCGTGGGTGCAGACAGACACACGCAGCTCTAATGGGGCTCAATTTCTGCTGTTCAAGAGTTTCTGGGGGTTTCCATCGCCCAGCAAGTCGTGGGTTTGGGCAATAAACCAGTCCCTGAGCAGGGCTGGGACTCTGCCTTCTGTTCTCTGCTTGAAAGCCCAAACTTTGCAGCTCCTCTGGGAAACAAAGTAAGGAGGCAGCTGATGAGTTCATGTTAAATTATTGAATGTTTAAAACAGTCCTGCTGTAGTGAGAAGGGTGTTTGACTGAGGAGGGGGGATGGATTGAGAGATACAGGTAGATCTAGCTAGAGCTAAATCTGGGGGGCTTAAGGAGAGGGACTTGGGCTGAGGGGCCAAGAAAAACTGGAACTAAAACACAGAGACAAATGCACGAGTGTGTCTGTCGTGGGAGAGGGGCAGTGCTGGCCCTGGTTTTGTTGTGCAGGGATGAGCAGAGCCTTTCACTGGTATTGATCCCAGACTGGGAGCTGCAGGATCTCCTGGCAGGAGAGGGCTTGGCTCTCCCACCGTGGGTCCCTTGTTGAGCTGCTGGGTCAGTTCCCTTCACAGCCCCTTCCTGCTGATGTGCTGCCTGCCTTTACTTCTTTGGGATAAACAAAGTCACTTCCTTGCTTGTTTTTTTAGTTGAGTCCATCTTCCAGCTAAGGGGAGATTTTAGCTTTCGGTACCTGCAGAGCAATTAGGACAAGGTAGTATAAAAACCCCTCATGAACACACTCTTTCATAGCACAGTGTAGTGGAGCTGAAGCACTGGGGTATTTTGGCCCTGTGTCACCTTATCACAGTGGAGGGTCTGGAGTACTGGAAAAGCACAGTGAGGAGGGAGGAAAGAATGATGCTGAGGGATCACTGAGCCCTTTTTGTACCAAATGGAGTGAAAACAAATCTTGCAGAGCCGTTTCCAGCCAGCAATCTGTGCAAAGGGGGGTGCAGAGATCTCTGGGTTGGCTTCCATTAATCACTTGTGGGATGCAACACCCCCATCCTGGTTCCCTGCTGCTCCCTAATCCATCTCCTGTTTGTGTGCTGAGCTGTGATGGGAGTTCAGGCAGCACATCTACTCTGTGCCCACCTTTCCAGCTCCCTCGGGCTTATTGCAGCTGTCAGTCACTGCTCCTCCTCCCCACCACAGCCCTGACTGTCACAGGGACTGGAATGAGTGTTTTCCCATCCCTTTCTCTCCCCACCCCTGTGGTTTAGTCCTTTCCCATTCATTTATGGCTTGGTTTGAATCTTAATTATTGTAACACCTGTTTAATGCCAGCGCAGTGAGTTACCTGTGTGCAGCTTGTGTGTAACCTGCAGTCTGGGAAGGGAGGAGTGGCTGCTCCAGTGGTTGGAAAAAGAGGAGCTTTACATCAGGCAGACCTGTTTGCTGGTGTCCTGTTGGGCTGGGAGGGTTTGTGTTTCCCACAGGGGGAACAGAAGTGGCGTGTTCAGGAAGTCTGGAAGGGCTGGGGAATCATTGGAAGTGTTTGATTGGAGCAGAGTCTCCTCCAAGGCTGGTGTCAGTCAGCAGCTCTCAGCTGTGCTGAGCAGGAGCACCAAGATTACGTGTTGAAGGCTGAGGAGGTTTGAGTGACGTGAAGGTTTGAGGAGTCTGAGTGGCCCTGACCGAGTGTCTCCACTGGCTTTTAACAGCCTGTTCTTGGGAGCGTAAAAAAGAGATTTTGTTCTAATCTACCGAAATCTCTTTTCGAATTTTTTTGTTTGTTCTTTCTGATAACACTTAAAGCCTTTGAGATTTGATCTCGTGGGGTTGCTTTGGAGATTTTTGTAGCAGTATTAGTGCTGCTTACCTAAAATTACTGTGGGGAGCTCAGCATCTTAGTGCTGTGTGTCTGCAGGGTAATGACCTGCAAAGAATCCTTTTATAGGCAGCCAAAATCAGACCAGTTGTCTCTGATCTCTAAACCATTTTCTTCCTGCGTAGTAAAACTTATCTCAAAGGCCCTGTGGATTGACATTTTGTAGTGCTGCAGAGAATTTCTTTAGGTGTTTTGCCCGTTCCTCCAAGAATCCTGAAACTCAGAAAATACACCTTTGCTTGACGTAAAATTATCTTTATATTTGCACTAATTGCCTTTGCCTCAACCAGGAGTAACCACCTGTCCTGAGCTCTGTGTAAACATTTTGTCTCCAGCCTGGGTCTGTATGGAGCTCGTGGGAAGCGTTTTCTGCCCATGCTTTGATTAGCTCTTGATTAGCTCTTAATTGTATTGGCAGCACGTCGTCAAGCGGAAGGTGAGTGTGGGAAGCTGAGGGACAAGGTCTGGGGCTGCCAAACCAAGCTGCAGCTCCTGAGTCCGTGGAAAAAAAAAATGCAAGAGCCTTAGAATTTATTTTTCCATTAATTGGAGAGATCGGTTTTGGTGGAGAACAGCTCCCAGTTGTGCTGATGGCATAGATCGCTCGGCAGTGGGTCTGATGGAAGGTTTGTTTGACTCAAAACAGGGTGATTTAAGGAGTTATTAGAGCTGGTGACTAAAATGCAGAGTATTGATTATCACCCCCGGCCTCGTGTGTGCAGCCGTTCAGAGGAGGAGAGAAATGGCTTTGGCTATTGATGGTAACACAGGATGCCACGAGCCACGGAAGAGCCAACGTGTCTGGAGAGGAAATCTTTCTTTTGTGGAAGAAACCCCATGGGTGGGGGTTTAACTTGGCCCTTCAGAGAGCATCAATTCATGTGCTGAATGAAAAGTGCATGGAACGTCTCTGGGCAGAGGAGGGGTAATCGTTTCTGGGGTGAAAAGTAGCTGTTTCACTGTTTTAGAGATGTTTGAGGAACTTTGGAGACCAAATGCATTTGTTTCAGTCTGTGAGCAGGGTGAAGCAGCCTGTTGGCACCTTGGCTTTGCACTGAATCAGCCACTAAAGGTTTCACATGTAACTCACCCGCTGTTGTAGCTGTTCCACTGAAGTGTCCTGAGTCACAACTGCCCAGGGCTGGGGCTGCCCCATCCCTGGAAGTGTCCAAGGCCAGGTTGGACAGGGCTTGGGGCACCCTGGTCTCGTGGAAGGTGTCCCTGCCCATGGCAGGGGGTGGAATGGGATGGGCTGTAGGGTCCCTCCCAACCCAAAGCTTTCTGTGAGTTGGTGATTCCAGACTTCAGCCACCAGTGGTACAGTAGAGAAGTGTAAAAACTGAACTATTTAGGTATTTTCTCTTTTTCTGGTGTGGTGTCCATCCCTCCATCCTTGGGGTGACTCATGCAGAGCTGAGTTCCCTCCCCAGGGCTGCAGGGACACACAGGGACACACAGGGACGGTGTCTGTGCCCAGGAGGTGCAGAAGGAGCAGGAGTGTGGGGCTGTATCTGTGTATCCATGAGCTGAGGGGCTGCTCAGCAGGGATGGAGCTTCCTGAGCTGCTGTGTGTGGCTGCAATGCAGGGCAGGCAGGGGCTGGGGTGCACGTGGAGGTGTGAACTTAATCCTGGATTGGAGCTAATCCAGGATTAAGTTCATTTTCTGGTTTAAAAAAGAAGTGCCATCCGGTTTTGGATGAGGACAGGTGTGTAATGAGGCTGCAGCTGACTCTGGCTCCTTTCTCCAGTGCAGAGAGCATCGATTTCTGTGAACCTCTGTGAACTCAGCCAGTGCTGGACTAGACCTTCCCACTGCTTTTCTGAATTGTGTCCACGTTGTACCTGCTTTTTGAAAAATACCAAGCCCATCTAAGCCAGTCTGACAACACTGCTTTGTCCACGTTGGTGTATGATCAGAATTTAAATTTCCCTTGCTATTCCTCACGGATAACTTGTAAATTCCTTCTCTTCCCTCTCTCCCCCTCTCCTCCAGGCAAGCCTGGGACCTGGCTGTTGACATTTGCCTTTCCCAGTTACCCACAATTATCGAGGAGGGAACTGCCTTCAGGGTAAGTTGGGGAGTGTCCTGGGGTGTTGTGGGCCCAGTTTAACCCCCCATCCCACACCTCGTCCCTTCAGCTTGTTGGGCCTTGAATTGTGGCAGTTTAGGGGTTTGTACCTTTAGAAAGGAGTCCCAACGTGCAGCACAATTTTTTTTATCCGAAAGGCTTAAATGTGAAAATTATCTCTTAGTAGAGTTCCTTTCAAATAAACATGAAATAGAGGTTGAGGGTATGTTCAGAGAGTTCTCCTAAGCTCAGTGTCATTGATAGGAGTCACTGGGGATTTTTTTGCTTTATTTGACTGAGAGAGCAGAAATGTAAAATTTTTAATATTATATTTGTCTTAAATTCCTCTATTCAGAATGGGTTTTCTTGGTATTCCTTTGACATTTCATGAACTGAAACCTTCAAACAATAATGATAGTACAATCTCAGGTAGCTGTTCCACCCTGTTGCCTTTTTAATTTTCAGTAACATTTTTGCATTTTGTCTGGGTTACCAAACTTCCAAAGTTTTTCTGGCTGTAATTGCAGGTTGTCTCCAAAGCCTGGAGTGCAGGAGGAGAGCTGTGGGCTCCTGCCAGGCTGGGGGTTGATCAGGATGCCCTGAGGCCTTTATCCTCCCACCCCTTGCTTTCCTCACTGTATGTGCTGCGTTTTAAAATGTGAAAAAATATGATTTTTCTTCCCCTGGTTTATGTTCATTTTTATTTCAGGTCTCTAACAATGTCACTGGGGGCTTTTATATTAGTGCTAACCCTCACCTGGACATTCTCTGTCAAATGAGCTGAAATTCAGCAGATTTCTGAGTATTTTGGGGTGAGAGGAGGCACAGACTTGCTGGGGATCAGACAGGAGATCAGTAAATGAGTGGTCGTTCTCAGGTGGGGATCGATTCGGGGGGGTGGGAACAATTTCCAAGCAGGTTTTCCAGCCTGACAAGTGCAGTTTATTGTGTGTTTTGGCTGGAACTGAGGTGGGCTGAGCCATCAGTCGGGGCTGGATTCCAAACCAAGCCGGGCACTGGCCCCAAAGGCAGGCTCAGGGCTCTCCAGAGCCATTCCCTCTGCTTTCACCACCCCGTGGCACAGCTGGGATGGGTGTCTGGGCCAGGGGAGGCACAGGGTTGCTGCTGCCCCTCCATTCCCTCCCTGCTGGGGGCTGAGAGTCCAGCCTGACCTGGATAAATCCACTGACAGCCTGTTCAGGCTGTTCTGTCTCAGTAGCACATCACAAACCACGTGGGTCTGACTCCTGCCTCTTCCCGAGGTGTTCTTGCCTGGTCAGACCTGGAAAATGTAATAACCTGCTGGAGAAGGGCCTGGGGGGTCGTGGTGCTCCTTCAGGGGGTGTGTTTGGGTTGGTTTGCTCCCCCTCCTCCACCTCTTCACTCCTTTCTTCCCCATCGATTTCTGCTTCCTTGTGGATTCCTCCCTGGAAGCCTCTGCATGCTCTGGTCAGTACATTCTCACCCAGAGCTTGTACCACGTTCTCAGGGAGATGGATGGCACAAGGAGTTTATTTTCATTGCTGTTGGATTGTGTCTCTGGACTGGGCAGAGGCAGCTCCCAGTGCTGCTGTGGGAGCGGAGCTGCCTCTGCAGAGCGGATAAATCCACTGCTGTTCCCTCTGCTTCTCCTGGGGAGACAGCAGCCACCTTGCCCTAAGACCTCTTGTGATAACTTTTCCTGTTTCTCTATTCTTTCCTCCTCCTTGCTTCCAAACACTCACTTAAAGGAATGCCAGCATATTTAAAGGGAATTACACTGGAAAACTCGTGTACATTTAAAAGCCGCCAAACAAACACGTCAATTACAGGGAGTGGTTTTTGGAAAACAATGAAGTCCAGACGTGCCAGAACTGTTTGCTTCGCTCCTGGTGTTTTACCCCAGCCCTGCATTTGCTGTTCTTGCCCCCCCAGCACAGCCCCTTCTTCGCGGAGCAGCTCACGGCCTTCCAGGTGTGGCTGACCATGGGCGTGGAGAACCGCAACCCCCCGGAGCAGCTGCCCATCGTCCTGCAGGTGAGCACAGCCTGGGGCCCTGCCTGCCCTGCCTGGGGGTCCCTGCCTGCCCTGCCTGGCCCAGGGGGGCCCTGCCTGTCCTGCCTGGGCCAGGGGGGCCCTGCCTCTCCCTGTCCCTGCCTGTCCTGCCTGGGCCATGGAGTCCCTGTGTCTCCTACCTGGGCCAGGGGGTCCCTGCCTCTCCTGCCTGGGCCAGGGAACCCTGCCTCTCCCTGCCCATGCCACTGTGTCCATGCCTCCCCTGCCTGCTCAGCACAGGGCTGCCAACCCCATGGCCTCGGGGAACATAAATTCCATGGGCTTCTCCAGGGTGAATTAGAGCTGGTTGCACGTCCACTGGACCTGTGCAGATGAAGCCCAAGTGGTTTTCCAGCCCCATCCCTTGGCTCCCGTTGGGCCAAGCTCCCACTCCAGTCCATGTCAGCTCTGCTGCCTCCCCTTTGCTCTGGAGTCACTGGTTCTCTGAGCAGCACATCTTTGTTGTCTCTCCTATGGCATCTCCTCTGTATCCCAGCTCTGTCAGGCAGGGACTTTTATCTTCCCCCTCTTTTCAGAGAGTGGAAGTTACTGCAGCGTAAACAGTGTGGAAATGGCTCCTTTATTCATCTGGTACAGCCTGGGAAGTGTTCCCTTTAATGTGGGGCTGAAATTTTGCTGCAGGAACATAGAAACAAGTCTCTGAAGACTGTGCCTGGAGAAATGTAGAGTTCTGGTAGGCTTTGCTCAGACAAAACAAAGTTCCTGTGTTTAAAGGAGAAGTAAATCCAGGAGAAACAGAACAGGGCGTCTCAGGCGATGTTTTATGGCAAGGCCCACGTTGCAGTTGTCATCTGTCACCTGCTCTGGCCTCTCCTCCCCTGCAGTTTGCACTGACAGAAATACAAACCCTGGCCCAGGTGCCCGTGGGCTCTGCTCTACCAACAGCAGAATTTAAAACCTTTCTGATTAAAGGACTGTGGTTCCTGTCCCTTCTGAAAGGGTCTGTGGGGAGACTCTGCTTCCCTGTCAGCTGCCAGCTGGATCCGTGACTGGCAGCACCATCCATCTCTGCAAGACCAAACTTTAATTTCCTGAGCCTCCCCAGCCTTGAGAGATGATGTAGATGTGGAGAAGTGTGGTTTGTCTCTGTCACTGTGATGGGAGCAGGCAGGCTTCTGCTCCAGCTCCAACTTTGCTGCTTTCCAAAGGATTGTTTGGCACCAGCGGGCTCTGCAGGCAGCAGAACTCTGCAGTGAGACTGGGAGGTCACCTGGCAAAGGAACCTGCTTTCCTGCCTGGAGCAAAAACAAGCTGGGACAGCGTAATTATTGTTACAATTATAGAATATTAATTGTACAGTGGACTCAGATGGGTTGTTAACAGGTCTGAGGTACTCAGAGAGCAGCTGAGGCAGGGTGGGAAGGGAGGGTTTCAGACCCTTTTTGGTGTCTCTTTGCTTTGACCCGTGGGAGTGCTCAGACCCTGCTGCTGTCACCCCACAAGGGCTGATTCTCTGTTCCCAGTTTAGATTGAGGCTGGGGAGGCCCTGGCACAGGTTGCCCAGAGAAGCTGTGGCTGCCCCAGCCCTGGAACTATCCCAGGTCAGGTTGGACAGGGCTTGGAGCAACCTGGGCTGGTGGAAGGTGTCCCTGCCCATGGCAGGGGGTGGGATGAGGTGGGCATTAAGGTCCCTTCCAACCCAAACCATTCTGGGATTCTGTGTGCCCCAAGAGGAGGAGGTATTGAGTGCCCAAGCCGTGGTACCAGCCATGCAGAGCCTGGATTTACCAAGGACACAGAAATGGCCCTTTGGAAATGGCCTTTTAATTAATAGACTTCAAGAAGCTGCTTTCCACTTGGGATTCTTGCTGTGCACGGGGCAGGTTGGGCACGGGAGGTTTCCTGGTGCAGAGAGGAGAGAAGCCCTCAGACAGCAGTGAGCACACACAGCCTGGCCAGGCCTGGGTCCCAGGTGTGGATCCCTGGGGAGGTTCCTCCTCTGTGGGATCTCCTGTGCTCGTGGACAAGAGCTTGTCCCCCCCAGAGAGAGGACAAGGAGATCACTCTGCAGTTCCCTTCTCCCATCCTGCCTTTGTTAGGAGATTCCTGCTGGAATATGGGCTGTTACTTCTCAATGATCCCCCTGTGTCCTGGTTAATCTCTAATTTCCATGTGTGGTTGTAGCTTCCCCATTTCCTGTTTGGGGATGAGGATGGACAGATGTCAGGGGGGGTGTGACCAGGGCTGTGTGTGCAGGGGGGCACTGCCAGGCACTGCTCAAAGCTCAGGAGTTGTGTCATCCCCCCGTCCTCACCCCGGGCTCTGGGATTTGTGTCAGTTCAGGCTGTTGTGAGGATCAGCTGGGGAAGTGGGAATGGGAAATCCTGGGGGATGGAGGCCTTTGTTTGGGTTGGACAGCAATGGAACAGAGCTCTTCAAAGCAGACACGGTGTGCTTTGGTGGAATGTTCTTGTGGGATGCCAGCAGTGTGGAGCTGGGGTTTGTGTCTTCACCTGGAAAGCCTTTTCAATTAGATTCATTTCTTTGCCCAGCTATGACAGAATTTGGGGATTTCCTTGGCTTTTCTGCAGGTCAGAGGATCCCAACCCTGTGGGATCTGAGCATCCTGCCCCTGCCAGGTCCTGCTGCTGTCCCAGCCCTGCCCCAGCCTCCACCTGCCCTGGTTTCTGGTACTGCTTTAATCACAAACAGCTGCCTCTGTTATTCCTGGGCTGGTTTATGGAATAGGCTGGTGCCAACTAGGGCAGGATGACCAAAATCCTTTCTCTTATGACCTGTCCTGAGATCCGAGCTCAGATACTCAGAGTGAAACATTATCATCACATCCTCCTGTTTCTTCTGGACTTTTCCTGCACTACTTCAGTATCCAGTACCAGTCACCCACAGTGTGAGACATGAGCCAAGTAATTTAGTTATTCTTCAATGTTAAACATGAAAAATAATTCAATTTCAATATGCAACGTGGAAAAACACTGAGAAGGGGCTGGAATTGGGGAGGTAAATCAAGGAGCCTCTTTCCCTGAGATCCATCTGAGGGATGTTGCTCAATTTAAACCAAGGATTAAATGTTGCATTCCAATATCTTACATCTGTTAAGGAGATTAAGAACTGCAAGTCTATCTGTTAATATTTCACACCAGGGTAGGTATAAGCCAGTAAACCACCACCTCATTAGCGTTGTCAGACTCTGCTTTAATGAGATTTTTATTAACGACTAATGTGACCTTTTGCTCCCTCTTAAGTCTCTGATATTGATTTGCCAAGGAAAGCAAAGCCTCTCCTTGTGCTCCTGAGCTGTTTGGAGGGTGGGAGGCTGGGCTGGCACTTCCCTTTGGGTCCTGCTGCAGGTGCCATCCTGGGCAAGGCAGGTTGGAATCCATGGGATTGCTTCCCTCTGTGTCAGGAGCAGCTCCTGGGGGTGTGAGCCCTCCCTGGCCAGGCTCTCACACCAGGGTTTGTCCCTCAGCCTCTCCTTCAGACCGTGCTGTTCCAGGTGCTGTAACAATCCCGAGGTCCCTTCCATGTGCTCTGCAGGCCCAGGGATTCCTGCTCTCTGTCCAATATCCCTTTTCCCTCCCCTCTGCAGGTGCTGCTGAGCCAGGTGCACCGGCTGCGAGCTCTGGATCTGCTGGGAAGGTTCCTGGACCTGGGGCCCTGGGCTGTCAGTTTGGTGCGTGGATGCTGCACGTGGGCTTGGAAATTCTGCTCTGTCTCAGTCTGGGTGATAAATACAGATGGTGATTTGGGGAAGGGATGTGTGGAGGATAATCCACAGATCTGACAAATGAGCGGTTTTGTGTGTTCCTGTGTGGGAAATGCAGCAAAGGATCCCGACAAGAACAATGGTTTTATTAATCAAATTCATTTCCATTACAGTGAAGAGGAGTTCCTTGGGAATAGTTTAGTGTAAAATAGTGTAAGGGGCAAACCAGGAGGAAATAACTGGGATGAGTGAGGTTTGTCATGTAAAATAAATAGCCCAAAAAAGCAGACACATTTTTTTCTGTTTTCTCAGCCTACTGTCTGCATCACTTTCTTCTCTTTCTTTATCTGTTTGGATTTTACAAGCTCTTCTGAGCAGGCAGCAGCTGCATTCTGCAGTTTGGGAAGTGGCAGCACAGTGTGGAGCATAAATAAGAATTTAACAGAGGAGCAGTTTAAAACACTCCTGTAAAAGGAGCTGTTGGTTGATAAAAGTGAAGATGAAGCACCAGCTGGTTGTGGAGCAGCTCAGTGATGGGACTTTTTAGTGGTTTTCTTTACCTCCCTCCTCCATCTCAGCCAGGAGTCCCTTCTGCAGAGGGAGGCTGGAGGCACAGGCAGCTTGGGAGGAAAGTGTGTGTTAAAGGGGGTGTTAAAACCTCTGGATTGTCCAGTTCTGTGAGGATCAGGACATGGCTCAGGTCAGCACAGGGGCCTTTGCTCTGGCTGGGACGTGTGTTACACCCTCAGGGCCATGTCAGGGCCATGCCCCAGCTTGGGGGGCTGCTCACCCTGAACCCCAGCACACATTCCCTCTACACTGAGCTTTGGGAAGGCTGTCAGCCCTCACAGGGGGATCCTCCAGGATTTCCTGTGTTCCCTGCCCTCCTGGGAGTGCTCTCTGATCCCATGGAAAAGGCTTGCTAAAAGTCTGTGTGAGGAGAGCCCTGATAATTTGCAGTGGGAAGGCTGGAACTGCTGAGCTGCTGCAGTGTTTGGAGAGAGCAAACGGCCCCAGCTGAGGGGAGGGAGCAGATTGTGAAGCATAAAATAGCCCAGGCTGGAAGGAGTGAAAGCTGGTGCTGGATTAGCTCAGAGTCTCCGTGGACCAAATGAGTCTGGAAATATCTGGTGACATTCAAGATTAAAATGAGCAACAAACACACAGGGATCCCCTCTTTACTAGAAATGTGGGAAATTGTTTCCTGCCGGGTTTCTCAGCTGTGTCATCAAAGATGCTGAATCCTGGCAGCGCCCTGTGTTCAGCCCTCGGGGCTGAGCTGCCCCCAGGGGTCTGTTCAGGAGGATTTGTTCAGGGGGGTTTGTTCCCAGGGGTGTTGCTCATGGGGCTTTGCTCTTCTCTCTGCCTCCCAGGCCCTCTCTGTTGGCATTTTCCCGTATGTGCTGAAGCTGCTTCAGAGTTCAGCCCGTGAGCTGCGACCTCTCCTCGTCTTCATCTGGGCCAAAATCCTGGCAGTGGACAGTGTAAGTCCTCCTGCTTCTTTGGGGTTTCAGCATTGTGCCTTTTTTTTTTAAAGATGGCCTCAGCCAGGGCTCTAGTTGGTGGGGTTTAAAATAAATAATTAAGCAGGTAAGTAACTGCAGATAAATTTATATAATCGTGTATACAGCTCTATGGTTTGTGGATGCAATTAGTTGAGCACAATAAAATTGTTAGGAGAGGTGCACACATTAATTCAGGCACAATTATAAGCCCATATAGAATGTCTGAACTGCTTGTGGATGTTGGATCTTTCCTATTTGGGGGCTATTTTTGCTTATCTCCTCCATTTCAGTGTGGAGAACAGCACTGAGTTGGTTGAAGTTTTCCCCTCTGTTGATCCAGCATTGTCAGGTTTAGTTTTATAACTATATTTTCATTAACATCCTAAGAGGATTTTGGAAAGCAAAGAAAATGAAAACTGTTCATCTTAGAGCTATTCTTGAAAAGCTCATTTCTGAGGCACCCAAGGCTTGGGCCTCAGCCCCAGGTTGGTGTGGGGAGGCTCAGGTGTGATTCCCACCTGGTGTCCCATTGTCCTCCCCTCCAGGAGGGCTCTCTTCCCTCCTGCCCCCTCACACACTCCCTCCCGTGCTCTGTTGTTGCCTCGCTCGTTTGCAGGCTTTGCTTTACAGCAAGACAGAAAAAATACTCAGAAATGGTGTGTTTGGGGTTTTTTTTCTGCAGTTTCACTCACTGACTCCACCAACACGTGGTGGGAGTGGGAAGGGAGGAGGGGGCAGCTTCCCCAGGGAAGGGCCATGGGCACTGCTGAGGGAGGGGACAGGCAGCAGCTCCTGTTCCCTGCAAATAGAGTATTTTCTGCAAGTTCTGAACTTCCACACCGAGCCTGCAGCCTGTTCTGGTCACGTTGTATTATTCACAGTGGAGCTGCTCACTCTGTGAGGAGGAGGAGGAGGTGTCAGTGGTGCTGGATTCCAGATTGTTCCCAGGATCTGAGCAGGGAGGGGTCGAGTGAGTGTTCTGGTTTCAGAGCCATCCTTTCCCTCCCTTGAGCCTCAGGAATTTGGGTTGGAGGGGCAGCACAGTCAATGAGTGTGAAGCTGGGCAGCCTCCCCTCTGTTGGTGTCTGTGTGCCTGCATTAAAGCCAAGAGATTGTTCTGTGGAAGGAACAGAAGGTAATGACACTGAGGAAGAAGAGGGGGCAGAGGAAGCCTGGTGTGTGCAGTGACACAGGAGTCAGGGAAGCCTCTTGTAGCTGCAGCCTGGCAGCAATCCAGGCCCTCTGCTCTTTGCTCTGCCACAACCAGCAGCCTCACTCCCCTCAGCAATAAACTATTCTCTTGCATCCCTGCCTTGCCATCCCCTCCCCTTTGAGCAGCTGGTTCCCTCCTGCACCTTCTCCTCCTGATAAAAGCTGCAGGATCCTGTCTCTGGCCCGGGGGAGGCTCATTGCCAAGTCAGGGTTTCCTCCCTTGCATTTCCCCTTTGGTGCTGTGTATCCTCATGGTGTGACCCCATTACATCAGCCTGGAGCCTGAGGTGGTGTCAGCAAACCCCTGTGCTCACCCCAGCCAGGAAACCTGCCCTGTCTCCTGGGGGCCTGGAAAGGCTCTGGAGCTGCTCTGCACTTTAGGTTGTGTGTAGTAGGATAAATGCTGTGGAGGTTTAATGTGGGGCACAGATATCCCATTTAACTCTTCCCCAAGCAGGAGGTCACGTTTCCAGCTGCTGTTTGTGTCCCTTTGGGGGTAGCAGAGGGCTCCCTGCTCCTCCCTGTCAGCCCATTCCCACGGGGGGTTTGGTTGCAGCCCCAGGAAGCATTTGAGCTTTTAATTTTCTTCCCAAATGAAAACAAGATTTGAGAAAAACGGTTGAGACATGAAACATTTATCCATCACTGGAGGAGTGAATTCCTGTGTGTTGTGGTTCTCATTGTGGTTTTCTTGGTCTCTTTTTCAGTCATGCCAGGCTGACCTGGTGAAGGACAATGGACACAAGTATTTCCTTTCGGTTCTGGCAGATCCTTATATGCCAGTAAGGACAAGTCATGTTTATTCAGACTCCTGTGGCATTTGCTTGCCTTGTTTTAGCTGATCTGTTCTGTTCTGGTGCTGGTGTGGGGCTGCCCCCCACGCTGGGGAGTCAGCAATGCTCCCACCAGCGTGACAGGGGCAGCCAAACCAAACAAGGATTTACAGACAAAGTTCTATAAGGAGATTACTCTGGGGGAGCTGGGGGCTCCAGGAGGCTGCAGAGACAGGGAATTGCCCCAGAGCTTTGGCAGTTCCCTCAGCAGCAGTTGTTTGGGTTCCTGTGGTGGGTGCCAGGCTGGGGAGGTGTCTCAGGTGTGACAGGCCAAGAAAATTCCACCTTTCTTTCTCCTCTCTCATTCTTTTAATGTGACACAAACTGCACTTAGAACAGTGCCACGTTTCAGGGTGGGGTGTAGCTGTTCCCTGCCCTGTTCTCCAGGTAACCCTCAGTTGTGGGTTGTTTTCAGGCTGAACACAGGACAATGACAGCATTTATCCTGGCTGTGATTGTGAACAACTACAACACTGGGCAGGTGAGTTCCCACAGCCTTTTCCCTTCAGTCTCTCCTGTCTCTCTCTGCCTTATGCCTTTACTTTGATGAAAGTGTCCTGGCTTGCATTACAGCCCAACTCTGAGCTGGGAAACTCAACTAGGAGGTTGTTTTATGTTATTTCTGCATGAATTAAAAAAGAATTGACCTGGAGGTTGACAAAGCACCTGGCAGTGGAGGGTAAGGGCACGAGTCACTCCACAGCCACCCCTCCAGCAGCCACTGGCAGGCTGGGAAGGAAACAGTGCCTGGTCCTGTGGAATCAGCCATAAACCCTGGGGCTCTCACAGGTGCTAGGAACACCTCCAGTGAGGGAAAAACAGGCTTTATGCCTTACAGGAAACATTTCTAATGCTCAACTATTTAACCAGCTCTAGTAGCCTGTGCCTGCCCTTCCCTCCACGCTGCTGCCAAAAGGGGTTTTGTAACAAAATCAGTGTAAAACCACTGAATGATTATTTTCTCCTGATTTCCTGTGTCTTTCAGGACTAGTCTTGTTCTGTGGGGCTGAGGTGGGAAGTAAATGGCCTTGGTTTGTGTTGCAGGAAGCTTGCCTTCAGGGAAACCTGATTGCCATTTGCCTGGAGCAGCTGAACGACCCCCACCCGCTCCTCAGGCACTGGGTGGCCATTTGTCTGGGCAGGATTTGGCAGAACTTTGACTCGGCCAGGTGGTGTGGGGTGAGGGACAGCGCTCACGAGAAGCTCTACAGCCTCCTCTCCGATCCCATCCCAGAGGTAAAAACCCAACTTTTCCCGTAAATGCCAGTTGAATTGGCAGAATTCTGGCAGAGGACAGAAATTCCTATGAACCAGGGCCTTCCAGAGCTTTATGTTTGTGTCTGGTTCAGAGAAGGATCTCGTGGCTGTTTGTTCGTGGTGGTGCAAATCAAACAAGCCCTGCAAGAGGAGCATCCAAAGAAATGCAGGGGAAGTTCATACAACCCCAGCACCCTGGGATCTGGGCACTGGAGTTGGGAAATGCCACGTTTTTTGCTTCCTTACATATCACATTATTAAAATCAGATTGTTAGAAATGTGGTCCCAAAACCCTTCAGTCTTTTTGTCCAAGTGTGAAAACTGTTCTCCCACTGCCATGAGTGAAAATCCACCTTTAGCTGGACGTGTTTGACCTTCGTGACACACTCCCCAAGAGAGGGGCCTGTGCTGAGCCTGGCAGTGACTGACAGAGCCCCTCAGAGCCCGGGGAGGTGACAGCACACATGGGAGAGGGGAGCTGAGCTAAACACCTCTGATAACGTGCAGAGATTAAAGATGAGAATCCCCTCCCCATTCAGCCTCTGTCCTGCATCCTCCACCTCCTGTCTCTGGCCCCATTCTCCCCACATTGTGAGCAGTGTTTCTGCAGAGGTGGGGTGGGCTGTCCAAAGTTTTTCCTTGATTTTTCTCCTTTTTTCCCCCTCATCTTCTACATTTCTAGAAGCCCATATTTGAAGACTGTAGTCAGCACTCCTATTAGAGATTCACATCCCAACAGGAACTCTGTGTTTACCTTATTGCTGTTAATTAATATTCAAGGCGACGCAACTGGAAGAATCACCCATGGGAAGGTCACCAAGTGTTCTGGGAAATTAAATATATCCCGTGCCTGCGAATACTTAAAACTCAGTGCTTTGCTGAGGCTGCCTGGGTTGTTCACTCCCCGTGGGCTTCCCTGTACCCCTCACTGTTCACCTGGCACAGCAGTGCAGGTTTGCAGAGATGCTGTTTGTGGGGGTACAATGAATCCCCCTGACTGAACCTGTCTGTGTGCCCAGGTTCACTGTGCCACAGTGTTTGTGGGGGTACAATGAATGCCCCTGGCAGAGGAGGCAGTGACTGTCTGTGTGCCCAGGTTCGCTGTGCTGCTGTCTTTGCCCTGGGGACGTTCGTGGGGAACTCAGCAGAGCGCACGGATCACTCCACCACCATCGACCACAACGTGGCCATGATGCTGGCCCAGCTCATCAACGACGGCAGCCCCATGGTGCGCAAGGTACGGCCGGGAGGGCTCTGCTTCCCTGCACAGCATTCCCAGGGAATGGCTCTCCCTTGGAAGGGTCTGGTCCGTCACGGAATCATCAGTGAAAATCAGAGTGCCTTGGGTTGGGAGGGACCCTAAAGCCCATCCAGTGCCACCCCCTGCCCTGGGCAGGGACACCTTCACTAGCCCAGGTTGCTCCAAGCCCCGTCCAACCTGGCCTTGGACACTGCCAGGGATGGAGCAGCCACAGCTCACAGAGTCTTCACCTTCAGCTTCTGCAGAGAGGTGTCAGCACAAGTGATGAGCAGCATCAGCCCAGACCCCACTCAGGGGTCTATCCAGCAGTGTTCAGGGGTGCTGCTGCATCCACCTCCCCTTTGGCAGCACAAACATTGCAGCATCTCCTTTACTCTGCACTCTCAGGAGCCCCTGACAGGAGTGATGCAGCTGCAGCTGGGTCAGTGTCCACATCTGGACAAGGCTGTTGTTCAGGTCTGTGTTTCTGAGGGTTAACAGTATCAAGTATTCCACTGAATGTCTGGAAGAGGAGGGACCATCTCAGGAGGTTGTGGGAATTTTTATATCCTGGGTTTTTTTTAATTTAAAGAGAATGTGGAGACAGGGATAAGGAAGTAGAGCAATTACACCAGAGTCTCCTCAGGTGCACGAAACACTGAGAATTCTTGCTGGGCTGCTCTTCTGCTGATCACCAGTCTGATTGCAATATTTTACATTACGGGAACTCAGGTTTTAAATTAAATAGTTTTGTGTTGCTAAAAACATGGAGTGGTGGCAGTCCTAGGGGAGGAAGAGGAGGGGGAGTCAGAATGCTGTGGAGACAGTGAGAGCTCTGTTCAGTGAGATCTTCCTGCCTTTAGAACCCCAAGGATGGATCACAGGCAGCTTCAGAATAGTTCTTCAGATTTGGGAGAGTTACAGTTTCTGATGCACCGTCGTACATCAATAGTACATTAAATAGTTTCTGACATTCTGGATTGTTCTTGAGGGCTGTTCTGAGGTGTCCTAATGCTTGTGTTTACTTAACTGGAACATCAACACCCTGGCACTTGTCACCAGCATTGCAAGGATTCATTTCTGTTGTCTTGTTCCAGCATTTAATCAGTTTAATTCAAGAGAGAGCTGCGTGTCACACTGAATGCTCTGTGAGATTCATAAATCTCTCCTTGGGAGATCAGTCCCTGAACAGAGACAGCAGCCAAAGCCAGCTCTGGCTCCTGTTGCTGCTCAGTGTCTTCTGTGATACTGCTTCAGTCTGACAACGCTGGGCAGAATCAGTGACAGAATCATGGAATGGTTTGGGTGGGAAGGGACCTTAAAGCTCATCTTGTTCCACCAGAGCAGGTTACTCAGCAGTGGTAGTGCTGGGTGGGAGTGGTGGAGTGGTGGGAACCAGTTGAGGCAAAAAAGGCTTGTGAAGAATTAGGTGTGAACCCTGCAGCTCATCTCTGTGAATTAAGGGAGAATTATTAGCCTGGATGGCCACCTAATAATAGCAGAAATAATGAGAATGTTTGCCTGCAGTCCCTTGTTTCTGGCCTGTGTAACCATGAGGTGTTTCTTGTGCTCTTTCCCCAGGAGCTGGTGGTGGCCCTGAGTCACCTGGTGGTTCAGTACGAGAGCAATTTCTGCACCGTGGCTTTGCAGTTCATAGAAGAGGAGAAGAATTACCCTCTGCCTTCCCCAGCTGCCACAGGTGGGGCTTTGGGGTGGGCGGGATCCTTTGTTGTACCTCATTCCCTTTTAGCCTGACGGAAAACGACTGAATTTTGTTCACGTTCGTGATATTTTGAAAACGACTGAATTTTGTTCATGTTGGTGATATTTCAGTTACGTATTTGCTGGGAAATACCCAGAACACTGTGACTGTTTGTGGTTACCCCTGTAATTGGTGCATTTTGCCCTGCAGAGGGGGGCAGCCTGACCCCGGTGCGGGACGGGCCGTGCACGCCCCGGCTGCGCTCCGTCAGCTCCTACGGCAACATCCGAGCCGTGACCACCGCCAGGAACCTCAACAAGTCCCTGCAGAACCTCAGCCTGAACGAGGAGTGTAAGACATTTCAGAATGCTTTCAGTTCCCTTTGCCTTTCCTTCCCCCTGGCCCCACTGTGCCAGCCAGGAGACCCCACGTGCGGGACAGCGAGGGCTGGAAGCGGCACTTCAGCCCCGGTTATCCAGCTCCAACCTCCTTCCTAATTAGTTTCAATTTTTTGGTCATCAGCATTGATTTTCCTGAGTGTTTGGGGACCAAAAAGGTGTCTTCCAGCTTCCAAGCATAAGTGGATTTTTAACTCAGTCTTGTGCTTGTTCTGTGTTTAATCATTCAGTATTTAAAAAGGGGAGTTGTGGGTTTGCCCACACCTTCCCTGAGTGTGGCAGGATTTAGAAAAGAGCTGTTATGTCTGGGTAAAAATTGTTCTCTCACCAGTCCTTGTTTCCAGCATCTGTTCTTTTCTCTTGGCAGCTGGAAGCTCTGTTGCATTTTCCCCTGGGAATCTGAGCACGAGCAGCAGTGCCAGCAGCACCTTGGGCAGCCCCGAGAATGAGGAGTACATCCTGTCCTTTGAGACCATCGACAAGATGAGACGAGTCAGCTCCTACTCCTCCCTCAACTCCCTCATAGGTGAGCAAAGCCTCTCCTGCCCTTCCCCTGGGGTCACCTCTTGGCTGTGTGGAAGGCTGGGATCTTGACTCCTGCTTGATCTTCCTCCAAGAAAATTTCTCACTAGAAATGCTATTTCTGTGTTTGGTTGGGTGGCTCCTGCTCTGGTAGGAGGACTGGGAATGGGAGCTGTTGGCTCCAGCTCTGAGCTTCATTACAATGGACAATGGTCCTGTTGGGAATTTAAGCACAAAAACTGGGGTGTGCAGGAATTCCACACCCACTGCAGTTTCAGTGGCCAGACAGTGAAGCAGGGACTCCCCACCCCGTGGCTGCAGCAGCTGAGCCTCAGCACTGACTGCTTCCCTGGGGATCTGTCGTGTGGGTTGTGTTTCTGTACAGCCCCTGTGCTGTGTTACTCCTCCAGGGAAACCTGACCCAGCTCGTTTCCTCTGCAGGTTTATATGCATATAGTTAAAACAGGACTTAAAAAATCCCAGTTTGTGTCTTAAAAGCAAAAAGATTGAGTGTTCCACAGAACTCTGAAGGTTCCATGGCTGATCCTGCTGCCTCCCATCCCCTCTCCATTGTTTCTCCTGGATAAGCAGCTCTGCCATCACAACCTCCACTCAGCTGCCCCTGTCCCTCCCATTTCCCTCTCTGGGTGATGTGCAGAACTCTGCAGAGCCCAGTGCAGGAGCCCAGAAGGAAGGGAAGTTGTCCCTGTGTTTGTGCAGTGCCTGGCTGATTTGGGTGATGGATTGTTTGCATTTCTTTTACGGAACAAACTGGAACGTTCACTGAAGCTCTTCCAACCCAGTTGTTTTTCAGGTGACTTCCCCAGTGGTGTCTGACTGCCACAACAGCTTTGCTTTAAACCACCTGTAGCTTTTCAGACAACCTAAGCCATTTTGGCACAACAACACAGGCACCATGCAGAAGAACCTGGCTTTTGGAACAGCCTCTTTCCAGGGAAAGCAGCATGCACAGGGAAATTCTGGGGGAAATCTCTGTATTTCCTTTGTAGTCAGTAAATGGGCCCGTATTTTCACAAATCAGTGAAAAGAGGGTGGTGTAACTCAAGAGAGGGATCACCTGGGTGATAGACCTGTGTGACTGAAGAAACATTTTTCTCTGCTCTGTGTTTTCTGGGAGAGTTAATGGTGATTTGGCTCTTCTGAGTTGAAAGATTCTGGGATGGTAATTCCTGAGCCCCTGTGGCAGTTTAAAATCATGTGTTCATTAGGAACTTGATCAGTTAATTCGCTTTTGATTGTCACTAATGAAATTGGATCTCGTAAAGCATGACAGGGATGTTAGGAAATTTCTCTCCACCTTGAGCTGGGACTTGAGTTTTCCCATTCCCACTGGTGCACCCTGTGTCTGCTTGATGGCTTGTGCTTGTCTCACAAGGGCTGTACAGCACAGCTGGAAAAGAATCTGGAGAGGAGCTGGAGGAGGTGAAGGAGACCCGGGAAAGCAAAGAGAGCAGCTCTCCAAGGCCTCCCTCATTCCTATTCCATCAAAGAGCTCAGACCCAGCTGGAAATGGCAGAGCTTAGAGAAGTGTTTAAAATTCATGACTCGCACAGAATGCCATTACCTTCCCATTTGCTTGCTGCAAGCCAGGCTTTTCTCATTGCTGCTGAAGAATCACCATCCTCCAACCCTCTCCTGCTCCCCAAGGAGAGATGCCATCAGCCCCAGCCACCCTCACAGCTCTGTGGCTGTTGTGCCTGGCCCGGGTTAACCCCATATTTGATGTCCTAATGGGCACTAAACTGCTGCTGTACAGCCAGCGAGGGGCAGCTCAGGGATCCACCTGGGTGAGAGACTTGCCATGACTGAAGGAGTGTTTGCTCTGCTCTGTGTCCTTTGGAAGAGGAAATGGGGCTTTGGCTCTGCAGCAGCACCTCTGTCAACATCTGAGGCAGCCAGAGCAGTAAAAAGGATGGTTTGGGGCACGTGGGGAGACTCAAAGCAGAAATCTGGTCTGTAAAAGCAGAAATTTTCAGGCATGGTTTAACTGTGTCCTGTACTCTGCATTCCCTGGGCTGATCCACTGATCACAGAACCATGGAATGGTTTGGGTTGGAGGCACCTTAAAGCCCATCCAGTGCCACCCCCTGCCATGGACAGGAACACCTTCCACTGGCCCTGGTTGCTCCAAGCCCCGTCCAACCTGGACACTTCCAGGGGTGGGGCAGCCAAACCTGCTGATGCTCAGGGCTTCCTTCCTCTCTTGCAGCTTCAGAAACACGGTGCCAGAGGGATTGTTCTGGATCAGCCTCTTCACTGACACAGAGGCATCACACCATGTACTTCCCATAAACTGGAGGAAAAGCTCTCCATTCCTCCTTGTTCCATTTTACAGGCAGTTCCTGAGCTAACTGTACACCAAATGTCCCCATTTAGTGCCCCCCCAAATGCAGCTTGTACTCTCAGCCGAGGTGTTTGTTCTCTGGCAGCTGCTCCTTGGCCAGACAGGGCTGTACCAGGAGAGACATTCATTTCTGGCCCAATTTTCAAGCTGGCAAGAGGCAGTTTGTGGTTAGTCAACAAAGACATCAGTTTGGAAGGGAAGCTGAGCCTTGCTGCTTTTCCATACAGCCACTCATTAATCTTGGTGTCCTGGAAATGTTCAGTTTTAAGATAGGAAAAGGGAAGGAATTAAGATGGGGGGGTTGCATACCTTGAGGCTGATTATTCATATCCAAACTGCATGATGAAAGTCTTTGTCCTACAGAGAGCATTGCTGGAAAGATGATCTTAAGGAGTGATCAAAGAGGGAGGAAAATAAATCTTGGAGGGCTGAAATGCTGGGGAATAGTTGTCTTTTCCAGCGGGAGAGGCTGGGGGTGGAGAACTGTTCTCCGTGTCACAGGATCTGCCTCAAAGTAACGGTGACAGCGGGAGGTGCTGCAGTGAGGATGAGGAGAGCAGAGGTGGAGGTGGACAGGGAGGTGCAGGAAATAAAGAGTGAGTGTTAGGACAGGTAGAGCCTCCTGCTCTCTCACCAGGCAATATGTTTAATGCACAGAGATAATGAGAAATAATAAAGAGCAAAACACGGGGATTTGGGTAGGTTTTGGAAATGCAAAGCTGCTGTGGAGGCTGGTCGTGGTGGGCTGCTGCTTTCATGTGGGTGACATCAGCCCTGGTCAGGGGGTACCTGCTCTGAGGGAGCTTCTTTCTAATGAGCTGGTTCTGGTTTGTGCTGAAGCATTAAAAGCTCAGCTCTGCCGTTGGACTCCCCTGGTTTGGGGTGTGCAGGAGCCCGTGCAGAGCCCAGGGGGGGCTGGATTGCTGTGGCTGCAGGGAACAGGCAGCGTTTGTCTGAGTTCAGAGATCAGCAGGGACTTGGGGTGTCCTCTGCACCCAGGGTCCCTCTGTGTCCCTCGTGGGAAGAGGGGAGACTCGTGGGCTGCACGTTGCCAGGGCAGGTGGGGTTGGCTCTGCTGGGAAGCAGGTCCTGAGTCCCCAGGGCTGTTCAGGTCCCTGAGTCCCCAGGGCTGTTCAGCCCGACGTGTTTCCCTGCTTCTGAAGGTCCCATCCCCTGTCCCCGTGTGCAGGTTCATTCCCTGTCACTCTGTGCCCATCCCTGGTTCCATTCCCTGCCCCAGGAGCTGTCTGTGGGCTGGGTGAACAGCAGCCCTGGGGCTCCATTGGTCTGGTTTTGCTGCGGTGCCAGCAGGGAGTGGAACTGCCCCTTCCGTGGAACTGCCCCTTCCATGGAACTGCCCTTTCCGTGGAACTGCCCCTTCCTTGGAGGTCAGGGCTGGAAATCACTGCAGTGATTTTTACAGGGGATTGGAAAGAAACCCTGTCCCAGCCTGGCAGATCAAAGAGGATAAATAAAGCCATTAGCAGTCGGGTTTGCATCCTTTGTGGCCCCCTTGGAGCTGCAGGACCCCGGCCCAGCCCCAGGCAGGCTGTGTGGGGCTCACAGGTGAATGGAACCAAGCCGTGTGTGTGCAAGGAAAATCAAAGTCAAGGGAAAGGCAGACCATTTGTTTTTGACATTCTGGGCGTAGAGGAATCATTTTGTAAACATAAATCCATACTGCAAGGTCCATTGAACTGGCTTTCAGTCAGTGTGACTAATTACAGAGCTGTCTGCTCAGATTAACACCCATCTCCTGCTCGGCTCTTTGTTTGCATCTCGTGGTTAGCTTGTGCTCCTGAGTCCATTACGTGGAATGAAGCTGCTGTTCCTCCTGCCACCTCTGCTGTTCCCATTATCCCAGGGACTCGGAGCTCAGGATTTCACCCAGAGCTGTTTCAGAGGTGGCACTCCATGCATGGAACAGCACTGATGTGGGGAGGTGGCATCGGGGGGGACCAGCCCTTGCAGCACCAGCCCTGAGCCCCAGATGCCTTTGTAGAAATCCCCTGTGTTCTCCTCAAAGGCTGCCAGGTGAAGGAGGAGTTGCACCAGCACAGTTTCTGCTTTAAATTTGGGTTTTTTTTCATGATGCTTAGATGTATAAAAAATGTCATTGGGTTTCTTTCTCCGTGAACGAGGTGGTTATCAGAGACCTGGAAATTCTGCTGGGTGCCCCCTTCCTCTCCCTTTCCTTTTACTCTCTTTCAAGGGCTTTAAAGAATTCAAGGCATCCAGTTTTCCCTCTGGTCCTTATGTAACTCCTGACAGGCCCAGTGTAGGAGGCAGAGCTCTGGGCACACCTCAGACCTTACCTGCCTTGCTGCTTCTTTCCTCCCACAGCTTGTAGCACTTCGCCTCCCTCCCTCTCTTGTTCTTTATCCTTCCCCCTCCAGTTTTTCTTTCCCTGGTAATAGAAGCTTCCAGGATTTAACATTGTAATATATTTACAGCCTTTACAATTTCACAGTATTATATAAATATTCTACAGTATTATATAAATATATATTTATAGCCTTTACAATTTACAGCCTGATAACAATTTACATTGTTATGTGTTTTACAGCCTTGCCAGTGCCCAAAGGGGCTCCAAGAGAGCTGGAGGGGGAATTTGCACGAGGGTCTGGAGGGACAGGACACAGGGAATGGCTTCCCATTGACACAGGGCAGGGTTAGATGGGATATTGGGGAGAAATTCTCCCCTGTGAGGGTGGGGAGGCCCTGGCACAGGTTGCCCAGAGAAGCTGTGGCTTCCCTGGATCCCTGGAAGTGTCCAAGGCCAGGTTGGACGGGGCTTGGAGCAACCTGGGACAGTGGAAGGTGTCCCTGCCCATGGCAGGAGGTGGAATGGGATAGTCTAAGATCCCTTCCAACCCAAACCAGCCTGGGATTCTCTGATTTGTCAGACCCTGTCCCTGACCTGCTCTGGAAAGGTTGGGGTCAGTTGGAGGAGTCTTTGTGGGTCACCCCCAGCACAGGAGCAGCACAGTCCAAGTGATCCCATCACAGACACTTGTGACATTTCCAGGTGAAAATTTAAGCAGACATCACTTGGAACATCCTTTGGTTTCCAGCTGAGAGAGAAACCCTTTGCAGGTGGAATGAGAGGGAGGAGTTGGGTTATTGGGGTATTGCCTTGGTCCTTTGCAGAGTGATTTTTCACCATCTGGGGACTTCCTGACAGAGGAGGGTTCCCCTGGTCAGGCAGAGCAGCATCTGAGGGGCAGCTGCCTTCAGCCAGAGCTCAGAACTGGTCTGTCCCAATCTGTTCTGCTGCTTTGAGTATCAGGTTTAGCACCTCTGCCAGGTCAGAAGCTGCTTGGTGACCAAGGAGCCCTTTCCTCCCAACTTTATATTTAGATGCCTCCAGAAACACAAGAGGAAAAGCAGTAACAGCTTGATCTGTCATTTACCATTGATTGTGACTCATCTGAAATCTCTATTTTAGCTCCTTTTTTTTGTTAGTGCAACCACTTTAATATTGTCCAAATGGCTCAACTCCCAACTGGGGTGTTGCATGATTAGACACCGGGAGGGTTTGGAGACAGAATAACAAACTACTCGCCTAAAAGCAGCAAAATAAAATGTTCACAGAATTTTGTCAGTTGTTACAAATGCTTATTAATTTGATTTGTACTTTGAATCTGTCAGTCCCTTCTGCTGTAATACCAAATGGCAGATATGCTCATTAAATAACAAATTGGAGGGATTGATACAAATGTCAATAGGAAGGACTGAGTTGGACTCGCTGCTTCCCAAAGGCTCAGCTCCTAAAGCTTTGGTTTAAACTTGTAGAATGCACAAACCCCTGAACAATTAGATGAAAATAATCACAAAAATGTAAGGCAGTGGGTTTATAGCATTTAGTATTTTAGCTCAGGAAACCCAGACATTATCCACTTGGCCTTTCCAGGTGATTTGCTTCAGGAGCCTGGAAAAGCAGCAGCTTGACTGGACCTGATTTAGGGAGTCTTAAATTTTTTTTGGCTTTCTACTGCTTTGATTTCACAAGCCCTTGCAGAGTTCACAGACAGGCAAAAGGGAGACAAAATTCCCGTGTGGGGTGTTTTTGAGCTCCTCTCTTGATGTTTATTGAGATGTCACTGGGGATGTTTGGAGTTCTAATGAATTTTCTCACATCAGATCAAAGAGTTGGAGCTGATGGATTGTCATGTGCTGCAGCACAAGGCTTTGGGTTTGTTGTGTTTTTTTACTATTTTAGGTGTGAGTTTCAACAGTGTTTATACCCAAATTTGGAGGGTGCTCCTTCACTTGGCTGCCGACCCCTATCCCGACGTCTCCGACCTGGCCATGAAGGTTCTCAACAGCATTGCCTACAAGGTATGTGCCTGTCCCTGCTCACCTGGGCCTGCCAGCTGTTGGTATGTGGATTTGTTCATGCTTAGGCAAGGCTTAGGCAGACTGACCTGGATGGGTCTGTTGGAGGGCTCTGCCTATTGCAGAAGGAGCTTTTAATGCTTCGAGATGATAAACTCTCCTGTGAACTCTTGATCAGGTAAAATGAATAAATGGGGGAGGGCCTGGGGTTGTTTTAGGGTATAAATTAGGTGCAGACCTCTGACAGTAGGTCTGGTTTAGAAGTCTACTTGTCTAGATCAGTCCCTGGGATAAACCTTTAAATATTCTTCATTAAATTATCCGTTTGCAAACTGATTTAGATAATGCAAGTGGGACTGGCCTGCAGACTGAAGCCACAACGGCTCTCCAACCCAGGTGAACTAGTACATGTGAGTCAGCATGCAGACACCCTGCCACTCCTCACCTCCAGCCCAGGCTGGGCGCCTAAACCTCCATCCTCATCCCATCTCATCCTCCCAGGGTGACAAGATGTCCCTGGAGGCTGCTGGCACTGGGGAGGGGGCAGCACCTCCACCCCCACCCAAACCAGGCCACCCCAGAACATCTTCTCACCATCTGCCTGCCCCGGCCCGGGCTGGGGACAGAAAGCTCTGTCTGCCCCTGCTTTCTGGTGGCTGAAGCATCGAGACCATGAGCCATTGCAATGCCAGGTGACCTCTCTTACTGGTCATTCCCAGAGAATAATCCCAGATCTTCAGCCCTGGGCTGCTGAGCTGAAGCTGCAGTAAGAGATGCCAGCATTGTGCACTGCCATCTTAATGCCCTAGAGATTTCTTGCTTTGAAATCATATTTTCTCTGGGGACGGTAGTTACTTATTTGAACACTTTTATTTGTTTGAAGTGTCAGTGAGCAGTCAGGGCTGGGTTTGGGAGAGAGAATTATTTTGGCAGCGGGGGCAACGAGCTGAGCCCTTCCCTGGTGATATGGGAGTACAACCAATGACTGCCAGGCTGGAGATGCCAAAGTGAGGGGAAGAAAGGAGGGAAAACGTGGAAGATTTCGCTCTCTCTGCTCTGGATGCATGAAACAGTTTCAGCTCTGTATTTTGGAAGGCTCTTTGCAAAATGAAATATTACTCCTACTTTTAAAAGGGATATAAAGAGGAACCAGATCTCCTTTTCCTCACTTGAATATTTTTTCAGGATTTGCTCCCTGGCCAGTGGAGAGATGGATTGATACCAGTACTGGTGCTGCTGTGCCCTGCAGCCTCACTGGGACTGCTGGGGCCAGCAGGAATTGTGATCCTTGTGTTGTGATATCCCTAGGGAATGTTGTGACTGATTGGGTGAATTCTGTGTTGATTCTGACCAGTTTGGACCAAACTGTGTTGGTGCTGCCCAGAGTCCCAAAGCTCAGGTGATGGGTCTCGTGCATCTCACGCTGTGTCTCGTCAGCTGGCCTGTCCCTGCTTCCTAAGGCAACAGCTCTTCCAAAGGGTTTGGAAAACAAGAAGCATTCCTGTTTACAGGGATTTTTATCTGGGGATGCTTCAGTGAACAAAACTTATTTGTTCTCTTTGCCTTAGCCATGAGATCCGTGAGGAAAGTGTTTAAACATGGACCTTGCCCGGCGGTTCCTCTGCGTGTCGGTGCCCTGGGCTTTGCTTTGGCCAGGACCACCTGGCCTGGCTGCCTCCTAACAAGGCTTTCTTATCAGAACAAGGACCAAACAACCTGTTAACTGCCCACCAAAATGGGATTTCAGGCTCAGATCCCAGTCATGGTCTGGCCTTTATGGGTTCCATTCTGGCCACAGCCCTGCCGTGAGTGGAGCTGCAGGACCCGCAGCCAGAGCTCCAGGCTCTGTGCTGGGAGCTCAGGCAGGAGCTCTCTGGTTTCTAATGCAAATTAGTGACAATTGAATCTTTGCTAACTGTATCCTGAGGTCTTTCCTTGGTGCTAAAGGAGCTTTGTTGGATGGAGAAGGGAGCACCTGGACGCTGCCGGGGGCAGGTCTGTCCTCCCCAGTCTGTGCAAAGGGTTGAATTTTATCAGTGAATACAAACAAAAACTGATTTTCTTGCTTCAACAAGAATACTGCTTCAGGTGAAGTAAACCACTTGAGTGTTCTAGGGGTTTAATATGTTGGTGTAATTAGTTAAAAATTCGGGGAAGAAGAGGTTTCATTTTAGACAGGTGAGGATTCCTTAATTGACACAGCTGAGCAGAACTTTGTGATCTGGGAGACCTGACTGGGAACTGGGGAGCTCCAGGGGAAGCACCTGGACAAACAAACCAGGGACTTCTTCCTCTGGATGGTAGCAGGGAACTAAATGTTTATCACAGAACCATGGAATAGTTTGAGTTGGAAGGGACCTTAAAACTCATCCAGTGCCACCCCCTGCCATGGGCAGGGACACCTTCCACCAGCCCAGGTTGCTCCAAGCCCCGTCCAACCTGGCCTTGGACACTTCCAGGGATGGGGCAGCCACAGCTTCTCTGGGCAACCTGTGCCAGGGCCTCCCCACCCTCCCAGGGAAGGATTTATTTCCAATATCCCATCTTACCCTTCCTCTCCAGAGACATTTCAAACCCACCTGGACGCGTCCCTGTGTCACCTGCTTGAGGTGACCCTGCCTTGGCAGGGGGGGTTGGAGTGGATGATCTCCAGAGGTCCCTTCCAACCCCAACTGTTCTGGGGCTCAGGGATTTTTCTTTTCAAACCAGCCCAGCCCGTCCTGTTGGGGTTTGTTAGCAGAGCCCTGCCCGTGGCTCTGTGTCTGCAGGCTCTGGGCTGTGGGGATGGGGCTGTGTGTGAGCAGACGGTGAGTGGGCTGCCCAGGCGTGCAGCCTTCCTGCAGGAAATCTGCTGCCTGATTCCCTGGGCTCTTCAGACACTGCTGCTTCTCACCCAGACTGCGGCTGGGCTGGGATTTATGTTTATGCTGCAGATGGGAATGGTGCAGCTCTCCTTCCCGGCCTGGGCTTTGGAAAGCGCCCAAACAAGCTCTTTGGAGCACCAAAACAAACAAAAAGGACCCAGGGTTCAGTGGTGGCCTCTAAAGGCTTTCTGAAATCAAAAAGTCTTAAAAGGAAAGTTTGCTTCCTCCCAGGTTGCTCCATCCAGGTGTTTTTAATGAAGGGCTTGAGGCTGAATTACAGAATCACAGAATCACTGAGGTTGGAAAAGCCCTCTGAGATTGAGTCCAACCCTTCCCCAGCAGTGCCAAGGCCACCACTCACCCATGTCCCCAAGTGCCACATCCACATGGCTTTGAAATCCCTCCAGGGATGGAGACTCCAGCACTGCCCCAGGCAGCTGTGCCAGGGCTGGACAACCCTTTCAGGGAAGGAATTTTCCCAACATCCAGCCTAAACCTCCCCTGGCACAGCTTGAGGCCATTTCCCATCATCCTGTCACTTGTTCCCTGGGAGCAGAGCCCGACCCCCTCCTGGCTCCAGCCTCTTTCCAGGGAGTTGTAGGGAGTGAACCTCCTTTTCTCCACGCTCAGAACACGTGTTGTCACTTGAGGTCGTGGTGGGAGCTCAGTGGTGGGAGGGAAAGGCTGGGGGCTGCAGGGAGCCCTGGGCTGCTGAGAGGACCCAGTGGCACCTGAGGAGACCCTGGGCTGTCCCCTTGCCCGGGTTTTTGGGGTGCTGGTGCAGGTCCTGGGCTGCAGCTGGCTCAGGGAAAGGCTGATGTGTTGCTCAGAGCCATTTCCATGCAGGCAGCACGAGGGCACTTTCTGGTAAGTGTTTTCTGACTACACAAGTAGTGAAATCCTCTCACGTGTTGGGATCAGCACAGGGGCTTTTCCATGTACGTTTTAACCCCAACACTGCAGAGAGCTCAGTCCCTGCAGCCCCAGTGGGGTGGGTGTGAGCTGGGGCTGTGCTCCGGCCGTTCAGGGCTCCGTGTGTTCTCTCCAGGCCACGGTCAACGCTCGCCCCCAGCGCATCCTGGACACCTCCTCGCTCACCCAGTCGGCCCCCGCCAGCCCCACCAACAAGGGGATGCACATCCACCAAGTGGGGTAAGTCCAGGGGGATCAGCTCTCCCTGCCCAGCCCAGGTAACTCCGCTGGGTGCCCAACGAAGCCTAAATCCTTCCCCTCTTTTTGTGACCTTCAGAGGGTCCCCCCCGACCACGAGCACGAGCAGCTCCAGCCTGACCAACGACGTGACCAAGCAGCCCGTGAGCCGGGACATGGCGTCCGTGCGTCCTGCCAACGTGGGCAACGTGGGGGTCCAGTACACCCCCCACTCCCACCAGTTCCCCAGGACCAGGAAAATGTTCGACAAAGGGCCAGAGCAGGTGAGGAGCCTCCCCTGTGGGGTCTGACTGCTTCCCCCTGCTGGGGTTTGTCACACATTCTGTTCGTTGGGGTTTATTTCTGTCTGTCCCTCGTTTGCTTCCAGCTGCTGCTAATCCAGATTGGCTTCCTCTAACCAACCAAATAAAAATTGATTAATTTTTTTTTTCTTCAGGATAAATTGTGTTTTATAGCTTTTGATAGGGCATTATTCACTTCTGCCACTAAGAAATGTGTTTAATCAGAGTCAATTGCTTATTCTTCCGTGAACATTTGTCTGTCTGAGTGATAACCCAGAGTCAGATCCACGACCCTCAGAGGCTGCTCTCCAGCCTCAGCAGAGCAGAGACGGGGGAAATTGTCCTGTGTGATCCCAGGAAGGAAGTGCTGCAGCCTCAGCAGGAGCACCTTCCCTCCTCGGGGGTTTGGCAGCACCAGCCTGGATCATATTTATGAAAAAATGGCTGAAACCTGAGAGAATGGAGCTTTTCCCTGTCCTGTGTGGGTGTCCCGTGCTGTGTGACAGACACTGCTCCGTGTGTGCCCTGGGAGTGCAGCTGTGTCTGCTGGGCTGGATCCTGAGTCACCCTCACTGCTCCAGGTGCTTGGGGCACTGAGGAAACCCCTGCTGGGCCCTCACTGTGGTGCCACAGGGTGACACAGCCCCGATCCCTGCAGCAGCCTGGTGTCTGTGCAGCTTGCCAAGGGGGGGCTGTGAGGAGCGATCCCAGAGTTGGGTGCACAGATTTCGTGTCCTGGGCGATGTGTTTGGGGTTTTGCTGCCTGGCTGAGGGCAGTGTGGGTGTCCCTGGGGTGCTGACACCCTGCTCTCTCCTGGCAGACGGCCGACGATGCCGACGACGCCGTGGGGCACAAGAGTTTCATCTCGGCCTCGGTGCAGACGGGATTCTGCGACTGGAGCGCCAAGTACTTCGCCCAGCCCGTGATGAAGGTAAACCCTGATCCCCTGGGGGGGCTCTCCCAGCCCTCCCAGGACTGCTGGGCTCCTGCCTGCCCTGATCCTCCTCCAGTCTGGGGAGGGAAAGGGGTGGATTTACCCACATCGTGCTGCTCTGGGAGCTGTGGGACCACTGTGCTTGGAAATGAGAGGGAAGAGGAAATAAGAGGGAGCAGAAGAGTGAGGTTGGGGCAGTGGGGTGTGACCAGGGACAGAGCCCAGAGGAAAAGCCCTGCACCCCATGGGAGCACGATCAACAAAGAATGTAAGAGTGAGGAGAGGTTCTGTGGTCCAGATCCACCAGTTTTGCCTGGTTGCATTGCAGAGTTGTTTCATTTGAAATGTTGTGCTTCTCTATATACTGGAAATTGCATTATAGTTAAAATTAATAGATTTTTTAAATATAAATAAATGGAGTAAGGAAGGTCCTTTCTTCCAGAAAGGGCTGTGAGAGGCTGGAGAAGGAGAGATGCTGTTTTCTTTCTGACATTCCAGCTGAATTTCCAGGCTGTGGGGATGCTAAAAGAGGCAGAGCAATGGTGGAGGGAGGCTGCTGCCCTGGGGGGAGGTCACAGCATCCCAGGGACAGCAGGAACCTGTGGCTTCACTCTGTCCTCGAGCAGGATTTCAGAGCTGTGCTCTGATCCCAGAAACACCTTTAACTTAAAGAGCAGAAAGTGAGTGTGGCTGGGCATCCACAGGAATTCTTGGAGGAAACTTGGGGAGCCTCACTGTTGGGTTTTAAAGTTTATAAAAATAAAAGCACTTGTGTTATGGCAAAGAATAAGGATGGTAATGACAAATCTGCACCCAGATCTTCTGGGGAGTGAGCTCTTTGTGTAACTTAGTTGTCTTTGCACGAAGTGAACGATAAACTGAAGGCTTGTTCTAGGAAAAACCCAAACCTGGGCTCTTGAGAGATGGGCAAAGATCATCAGTGACTGGAAGGAGAAGCTGTTAAATTCCCAGAATGTTTTAGCTGTTGAATTCCCAGAATGTTTTAGCCAAAGCTCAGGTTTCAGGTTTAAGTACAAAATAAGCAGCAAATCTCCCTCATTAAAGCAAACCTCCAGGTGCCCTGGGAGCCCAAACTGTGTCAGGGCTTTCAGCTCCATTTCTTGGAGGGGTTGCTGGGAAGGAGAATGCCCAGCCTGCATTAGTGCCACTTCCACAACGGATGTTTGTATCCAACCACTGATATTTAAATCTTAATTATGAGGAAATTGTGCATTTTAAGTACTGTCTCATCCAGGAGTTGCCACCGAGCCATCCATCCCCACTCTTCAGGCACACTGAAGTGTCTGGGGGGAGGTGATTGCCCAAGTTTAGGATATCAGAACAGTAGTTGCATGGCAGGTTCTTGATTTCCATAGGGAATCACCAGGAGGAAGCAGTAGCTGGTGAAGTGATTGCCTGACACTTCCTCAGCTGCTGTGAAATTCCCTTTCTCCTGATCTCACCAGCAGAATAATTCATCAGGACACATCTGGCCTGTGGGGCTGGGCTGCCTGGTCAGCTTTAGCCAGGGCTTTCTCTCATCAAGATGAGTTTTGGTGTCTTGATTCAAGTCCAGACAAGAGCACAGGAGGAGGGAGATGATGTTTGAGCTCTTTGTTCTTATTGAAAACATTTGTCTGCTCTTTAAGGAAAGCTCTTCCCAGAGAAGAAGGGTCTTTATTAATAAAATAAATCACAGCAGGCAGCCAGGCACGGGCAGGGGCAGTGGGTGCATGGGGAGCTCTGGGGGGGGTGGGTTTACTGCTAATTCATGTCCATAAAATAGACAAAATTACTTTAGGGGAAGCAGTAAAAAGTATGGAGCATTCCTGTACTAATTCATAGGAGCCAGGGAGGGGGAGTCATGGAAATCCAGGGTTTCCTGGAGTCCCGGAGTGCTCCGTGTCTCCCAGGAGATTGGAGGTGCTGCAGCTGCACCCCGAGCATCCCACAGGTGCCAGTGAGCAAAACCAAATCTGTATTTTCTAATAAAACGAGGAAGAGAATTATTTCCCTGTTACTTTTGCAAAGCATCTTTAAAAGGCCAAGGAGGTGGTTTCTGCTGGAAAACTGGAGTGTTATCCCATCCTAACAGGGAATTACACATAACTTCGGAGTTAAGAGTGGCTGGTGTGTGTGCAAGGGACAGGAAGAAATCCCCTTAGGAGAACTTTCTCTGAGGTTTCTTGGTTGGAAGCCAAGCAGGGCTGACAGCTTGGGTGCTGCCTGAGTTTCCATGGAGTCTCTGCTCCTTCAGTCCCCGTTCCTGCAGCGACAGGAACAGCCCTGGTGCTGCCTTTTGGGAGCTTCAGCCTCATCAAAAAGGCAAAGAGTAAAGTCTACCAAGTACTGGTGGAAAAAGATGGCATTGATGCTTAATTCCACCCGTTCATTTGGAGCTGCTGCCTGCCTTCTTAAACAGGGAAAGACAAGACAACTGTTCCTGTAATGAATAAACATAAATGACTGTGAGTGCATCTTAGTCATATTTAATTTATGAATTTAGTTTTGCTTCATAGACCTTGCCCTGAGAATGCTTTCACTGGAAAGATTGAGGGATTAATTTCCAGTGTAAATCACGGGCTCCGTTTCAAACCATCATCCCCGTTTTGATTTATCGATTATCAAATCAAACAAACGGGGGGAGAAAACCCCGCGCCGCAAATCGCCCGTGTGCCAGGGAGAGCAGATCCCCCTGCCCCAGCTCTGAGCTCTGCAAAAGCCTTTCCTCTCCCTGCCATCCCCCCGTGGCACGGGGCTGTTCTGGGAGCCACAGGCGGCCCTGGCAAGCCTGGGTGCCAGCTGTCAGGAAGTCCTGAGGCAGGGAGCGCGGGAGCCGGCATCTGTTGTTTCCAGGACTGGCAGAACATGCAGGCAGGAGCTGGGAAGGATCCTGGAAGGTGAGAATTACATAAGGAATCCTTCCTGATAAATGCCTGCCCGAGCTGCAGCGCTGGTGCCTTTGGCTGCTGTTCAGAGCCCAGGGAGAGGAGTGAGCTCCCTGCAACTGCTGCGGGAATGTTCACGGGGAAAACTGGATCCGCCGCTGCCAAATCCTCCCTGCTGCCCTCCTGGCACCCACTGCCACGGCATGAGGGAGAGGTGCAGTGTTAGAGAAGGAAAACTTGGCTGATTTTCAAGTGCCCTGCGAGGTGGGAGGGTTCAGGTGTCCCTGGTTTGTGCCTGGGGGAAGCTGGCAGGGTGATCCCACAGCCCAGCCCTGCCCGTGGGTGGGCACGGGGGGCCAGGATGCTGCTTTCCTGTGGGCTCTGACTCACTGCAGTGGTGGTCCAAGGGCTCTTCCTTGGCCTTTTAGGGCTTACTTTAATTTATTCCCAGAGAAGCTGGATTTTCATTAAGGTGTAGGTGTCATCTCTCCACTCTCAAATTCCTTTGATGTATTTTAGCTCAGGTTTGTTTATTGCTTTACATTATGGGTCGTTTGTCATTGCCTTTCTAATAGGTGTTATACTGAAATAGAAGTGCTTTTTTTTTTTTTGCCAGGAGGAAAGGTGGAGGGCGGGCTTGTTATTTTTTATTTGTTTTAAAGAAGCAGAAATTCAGCTCTAATAGTGTTTTCCAAAGTATAGTGTGTTTGGAAGGCAGTGTATATAATAGTGACAGATGATTTAAGTACTTTCTTATCCAGGGAAAAAGTGTGTTTGTGAGGCACAGGGAAGGAGTGGAAGGACTTTGTCTCCCTGCTCCAGGAGTTACTCCTTTGGAACAGCCAGCATCAAAAGAAGCTGGATCAGAGTCCTGGACCTCAGCCCCTTCACTGATCCAGGAATGGCTCCAGAGCAGGGGGGTTACTGGTCTTGGACAACGTTTTAAGCATTAAAAATGCTACACCTCTTATGTAGCTCCTGTCATGTTTGGGGATAAGATCATGTGTTACTCCTTTTGATCCTGTGCTCTGACTAAGGGTGGGGATACCCGAGGTGGGAGCAGCACTGGGACCTCTCCCATCCTGGGCAGGAGCTGCCCAATCCCGACCTGGCCTTCTGCCCGGAGCACAGGTTTTGCAGGGAAGCCATGGAGTGCCAAAACCTGGAGCTGTGGAGCGTGAATAAAGATCATCAAATAGCTCACAGTGGCTGTGGCTGCTCCAGAGCTGATCTCCAGTTTCTGGGGGAGTTTTGTGTGTAATCAAAGCCAGGTGACACGGGGGGATCGTGTTCCAGTGCGAGGAACCAAAACAGGCTGTTCCTGGTAAATGGTGGTGGGACCCTGAGCATCCCGGGGATTTGGGAATGAGCTGTGACCTCCTGGGCCTGCAGTCCTTGATTAGCAGGGGAAGAAGGATTTCAGTGGGTTCTGAGCTGGCTGGAGCAGAGCTGTGTTCCCCCTTTGATCTCAGGGTTGCTACGAGATGCTTTTCAGCTGAGGAGTGTTAAACAGAGAAATCTGGATTGTGCTGAGGTCAGACCTGCTGTGTTCGGAGGGGACGGGAGTCACAGGGACTGTGGGATCAGTCAGCTCATTCCTGGAGTTGTGATGGTCATTGTTGGTTTGTTTTGTGTATTTATTCCTCTCCTGACAGATCCCTGAGGAGCACGACCTGGAGAGCCAGATCCGCAAGGAGAGGGAGTGGCGGTTCCTGCGCAACGCCCGGGTCAGGAAGCAGGCCCAGAAGATCATCCAGAAGGGTGAGTGGTTTCCCTTGTTCAGGACACTGAACTGTAAACCCCCGATTAGTGATGCCCCCAATTAGTGATGCCCCCAATTAGGGGTGATCCTGTGCTGCCCCTCACCCTGGAACGGTGCCCGTTCCCTCCTGGTGCAGGTGAGGTGATGCTGCTGCAGGTGTGTCACTGATGGTCGCCCCCCTTTCTGTTCTCAGCTGCTGGGTTTGTTCACCACAGCAGGGAAGTGACCCCTGAAGTGCCCACTGTGTGCCCTGCCCGTTGAACACACGGCTCCATCTCAGCCAGAGCAGCTCCAGGCTGGCTGAGCAGTGTGGGAGCCCCAGAGCAGGGACTCCCCCAGGGAGAAGGTGGAATGCTGTAGGACAACCCTTAGAGCTGCAGAGCTCAGTGTTTGATGTGGGACAGGCACAGCCATGGCAGAGCAGCCCTGGAGCTGCTGGACACGTCCCCCCATGCCCAGGAAGGACCTCGGTGATGTCTCTCACGTTCTCTGCTCTGCTGAGCTCTGTAAATGATCATTTACTCCTTATATCCCATTATATTTTGAGTATTTGTGTGTATGGCTTTGTGTGTGCTGCTTCCACTGTGCCTCAGGTTCGTGTGAGCTCTCCAGAAACCTGTGTTTGTTTAGGACTCTCCAAGGCAGCTTCTGGGCCGGAATTCTCTTAGCACAGGAACTGATTTGAATAAGGTGGAACCTAATGAAGCTTTCCGAGGAATTTGCATCCCTAAATTATCCCTGCTTCTCGTGTGCCCTGAGCAGCAGAGGCTGGGGAGCTGCATTTACAGGAGCTCCTGGCATCTTTCCAGTGGCATTCCTGGGGCAGGACCGTGTGGTGGAGGCTGCTCCTCCCTGGGGATGCTCGTGGAGGCACATGGAGCTGGAAATCCTAAAGTGCCCAGGGCTCAGCCTCCTCGTCAGGAGGTTCCTGAGCTCCCTTCAGTGCCATGTGGAGCTTCCTGTCGGGAAACTGCAGAATATCATCAACCAGAGAAACAGGAATGAACCTGGAGCCCAGGAGATGGCCTGGGAGATCTGTTGGAATACAAAGAAGGGGATTTTTCATGCTTGCCTGGAGAAATTAAATCTCTTTCTAGGCAGTGTTCATATTTGGTTGCTTGACCTGAGTGACTAAAATGCCACTATTCATTAAAAAAATAATGAAAATGTGAAATATTAAAAAGAATTAAAATAGACTTACAAGCTTTTAATGAAAATTAGATTAAATGGATGCATTCTAAAACAAACTCGAGCTGAATAGATGTCTCCTGGGCTTAGGGGTTTGTGTGATGAATTCGTAGTGTGCCAAAAAATAGCAGTGTCAGGGGTCCCAACACTGTTTGTGAACAGGAAACTGCTCTGAAGACAAGATGGGAAAAGTCTTCACCCATCGTTTTAAGGTCTCCACAGAAAATACATTTTTCATTTGCAAATTAACCTAAAATTTAAAAGAAATTAAATGGAAGCTTAAATAAATAATCCACAAGCTACAGTGAAATGCTGTATTTTAAGTTGGAAAAAAAGCATTTTCATTTTTTATATTTTGAAGAAATAGCATTGGTTTTTCTCTCGGTGCAATCTGGTGTTTCCCTGGCCTTGGTTGTGCTTGTTCTCTTTGGTTGCCAACGTGAAGGACCCCCTGACTTGTCACCAGGGATTTTAGTTTGTGCCTTAAGTCGTGACACAGTCGGTGTGGGGGAGTCGGGGCTGTCGGGGATGGGGGTCTGGGAGGCTCCTTGAAGGAGGGGAGTGCTGGGGGTCTGCTGGTGAGAACTGGGGGCAGGAGGGGAGTGCTGGGGGTCTGCTGGTGAGAACTGGGGGCAGGAGGAGGGGGGGAGTGGGACACGTGGCTCTGGGAAGCCGGGGTGGTCCAAGCCCCCTCCCTCAGGTGGGATGTTCCCAGGGCTGAGCTGTGCTCCCTCCTGTCCCTGGGCCATTCCCTGGCTGAGCTGTGCTCCTCCTGTCCCTGGGCCATTCCCTGGCTGAGCTGTGCTGCCTCCTGTCCCTGGGTCATTCCCTGGCTGAGCTGTGCTCCCTCCTGTCCCTGGGTCATTCCCAGGCTGAGCTGTGCTCCCTCCTGTCCCCGCAGGGATTTCCCGGCTGGACGATCAGATCTTCCTCAACAGGAACCCGGGGGTGCCCTCGGTGGTGAAGTTCCACCCCTTCACTCCCTGCATCGCCGTGGCTGACAAGGACAGCATCTGGTGAGGGGATGGGGGGCACAGGGGGGTCACCACAGGTGCCACAAGTATTCCTCCTTTTCCCTGCCCCTTTCCCCCATGGCCATCCCTCCCTCTCAGGGTGGGGACATGGGGCAGAACCTCCCAGAGCTCAGGCCCCGAGTCCTTCTGTCCCCGAGTCCTTCTGTCCCCGAGTCCTCCTGTCCCCAAGTCCTCCTGTCCCCGAGGTGCTGAGCTGGGGCTGTGGGAGGATCCTGGCAGGGTTACAGCACTTAGGGACTCTGCCCTGTGTCCTTCACAGAAGGTTGAGGTGTTTAAATTCTCCCCTGGGAGGGTGGGGAGGCCCTGGCACAGGTTGCCCAGAGAAGCTGTGGCTGCCCCTGGATCCCTGGAAGTGTCCAAGGCCAGGTTGGACAGGGCTTGGAGCAACTTGGGCTAGTGGAAGGTGTCCCTGCCATGGCAGGGGGTGGAAGGGGATGAGCTTTAAGGTCCCTTCCAACCCAAACCATTTCATGATTCTATGATACGTTGTTAGTAAAATGATGCCAAATTCCAAAGGAGAAATCCAAATTGAGCTGGTATCCATGAGATATAATTGGATAATGTGTACATCTCTTTATAGTTCTCACTGAGAACTGACTTGCTATCTTGCTATTTTTTCCTCCCACAGTTTTTGGGACTGGGAGAAAGGGGAGAAGCTGGACTATTTCCACAACGGGAACCCTCGGTACACCCGGATCACAGCGATGGAGTACCTGAATGGCCAGGACTGCTCCCTGCTGCTCACTGCCACAGGTAGAGAACACATTTTCCCACGTGTGAGGGCAGGACTGGGGGGGCCTTTGCAGAATTCCAGTCTGGATGAGCTGTCCTGGACATCGTGGTCTCCCCTCCATGGATTTGTCCCAGCCTGACCTTCCCTCCCCTGCACTCACCTGCCTGGTCTCAGCTGAGGCCAATTCCAGGATCAAACCTGAAGGATGTTTCTGGCAGTCCTGAAATCTCTTAACTAGGTGCTGGAAAGATTTTCAAAGGACTGACGAGTCAAACACTTGGAGTGTTCCATTCCCAGTCCCAGCTTTATTTGTCACCTCATTCTGAATCTTTACCTGTCATTGCAAGGGCAGGGTCACCTCCCCCTGTAGAACACCTGGGTAAAGGGGATTTTAGTTCCTTAAAGCTGTTGTCCTGAGCTGAAATCGTGCAGCAGCCAAAATTTAAGCTCTCAAATTCTGTTTCCTGTGCTGTTTTCAGTGTAGAGCAGGCGAGGCTCAGCTTAAGCACTGAACTTTTCGGGTAGTTCTGAGTTTCTCTCTGGTCCATCCCTCACCTCAGCAGTTCTCCAGAAGACCCCGTTGCATCATGTGGGATTGCATGAAGAGCTCTGCCCCATTCTCTGGTCTGTAAAGCTGTGAGTCAGATCAGCTCCTCTCCCAAGGAACCATTCCAAACCTGTCAGTAGGAGTGTTTTCAACAGCTTCTCCAACTTCCCACTGAACTGTGCAGGTTGGGTGTAATTAAGGGAGGTGGAAGAGGAGCTGAGAGGGCCTTTAGGACGTTTTCCTTTCAATTTATTGATTCTTAGCACAAAAGTTTCACAGATGGGGAGAAAATTGAAAAAATACACAATGTTCTTGAAAGATTTGCTGCTGATGGGCTGGGCTTTGGTTCAGCTGCTTCTGTGGGGCTGTTTTGTGTTGAGTGGGTACTTATGTAGCTCTCGGCACCAATAGCGAGGAGGACAGAGATGAATCCTGGAGAAAATGAATGATTGAGGGAAATGGAGAGACATGTAATGTCAGGTGTTATTCAAGGGAAGAAGAAAAGCTCTTCCAGAACAGTTCCAGTAGAACAAAGCTTTAGGTTTCACGGATGTGTGATTAGAGAGGAAAAACAACTCTAACAAAAATAATTAAGTTCAAGTGACGCTCTTGAGTTTTGGAGCCTGTGCGACTGCAGGTTTGCTTCTCTTCTTCCCCATGCACAAGAAACTGTGAGAGCTGCATCAGCAGTGACCTTGCTTTGTGTTCTCTCCCCCTGTGCTCCCCAAGACGATGGTGCCATCAGGGTGTGGAAGAACTTTGCAGACCTGGAGAAGAACCCCGAGATGGTGACGGCCTGGCAGGGGCTGTCGGACATGCTGCCAACCACACGAGGTGGGTCCCCACTGAGTTCTCTGGGGGGGAAGGTAAAAACCAGCCTTTGTACAGCTTTGCATGTGGCACCTGTGACCTCCTTGGGCCCGAGCTCCAACTTTGGCACTTGTTCTTCGCTGTTCATTGTGGGGCAGGAGGTGGCAAAGGAACGTGCAGTCTAAATCTGGGACGTGCAGAAGGGCAGCACAGTGAGACACTGGCCTGCTTGGAATGGTATAAAAGTTGGGTAGAAAAGGGTGTAAAAAAGGAATACTGGCATCCAGCCACATGTAGGGTGAAGCCAGAAAATCAGTAACCCTGAAGTCAGTTTTGGGGTGTTACAGGAGGTTTTAGGGCATGACAGGAGGTGGACATTCCGTCCGTCCCAGACCTTGTCATGTGCTGATGCTCTAATGGCAATTCTCTGTCACTTGAATATTTTTAATCAAGGCTTCAGGTTTTCCTGTGTGTGCTGTAGTTCAATCAGCACTTTGTGGGATTGATGGAGGAACTGCTGGATGAGGCTCCCTGGCCCGTGCTGTGCGGGAGGTCAGCTGAGATGACCATCATCATTCATCCTGACCTTAAAAGCTGACAATTCTCATTTCTGAGCTGATGTGGTTCGTCCCAGGAGCCTGACACAGCTCTTTTAGCTATTCATTGGATTTTCCTGGTGCTGCCTGGGTGAGCTCCTGTCTGTTATGTTTCCCTTAACTCCTCACAGTTTGTCTCAGGGAAGAGGAGCTGTGTTTGAGGTGAGTCCAGGCTCTGCCTCGCTGAGGGACGTGCTCAGAGCTGATTAGGAGCTGCTGAAAGTTCAGAGCCCGCTGTGCAAATCGCTGTGGTCCCAACCTGCCCTTTAGAGGTGTCAGCAAGAGCAGGAGGGACACAGTGGGGCTGCACTGGGAGGGAAAGGCCTGGCTCTGCTTGGGCAGAACGGGTCCAAGATCCATCACAAGATGCCCTTTGCAGTGTCACTCTGTATTTGTTTGCCAACACCAGCTTTCCTGCACTTTGGTTAATGTTTCCCATCCCTGGATTCAGGATCTTGCATCTTGGTGCTGGGAATTCCCCCAGACTGCCCTGACTGTCAGCTCTCCTGGTGTTCAGGGAGGGTGGTGACAGCTGCCCACTGAGCTCCCTCAGCCCCATCCCATTTTCCTGCCTTCTTTTCCACGTGCACTTTGCCTGTGCTGATTGTCCCTCACCCTACCCAGGGTTTACCCCCCAAAAGGATTGTCCTGACACTACAGAACAGGCTCAGAGCTGAGTGAGCTGGAGAGTTGGGTGGTTGCCTTTGCCAGAACCAGGAGGGTTTTTGCCTGTTCCTTTCCCTCGTGGATTGAAGCAGTCTGGGGCCTGTTTTCTTTGCCTTCCACCTTCGCAGCGGGTTTGGCAGAAGAGAAGGACAGATCTCTTTGTGGAGAGAGAAATAAATGTACCACTTCAAAAGAGCTATGTGGAGCAAGTCCCCGTGGAAATGAGGCTCTTCACAGTCATCTGGTGCCAAGACCATAGTTGTGGTCCAGCACTGGCAAATAAAACTGAAGATGCATCTTTGAAGCTGCAGAGCTCAGGAGTTTTACAGGAATTTGTTTGCTCCCACTATTGATTTCCTTCCCTCCTCTCCCAGCATTTCCCCTGTGTCATAATGCCACACTCATCTCTGACTTGCTCTTGAGAACAACCAGAACATGACTTTCCTGGGCCATTTTCCCACTTCCAAAAGGCAAGAGGAATATGCCTCTGTTGAGCAGTGTAGGAGGAACACAGACCTGATGGTCTCTGGAGCTGTGCTTTCTCAGCAGGAGACTTTGGGGATTCTGGCAGTTTGTCTAGAAAAGAGTGTTTGCAGGCTGGGGAGCAGCACAGGGACCCGTGGCCTGGTGTGAGTGTGTTCTCATACAGCAACCTGAACAGATCTGCCACATCTGGGGGGTCTCTGTGACAGAGGGAACAAACCACAGCTCCACAGTCAGAAAGGCCTTGTCCTTGAAAACAGCTCAGTTCTGGAATTTGGAAAAATGCAGAAGTGGGACCGGCTGGTTCACAGTCATCAACCATCCCTCATGTGCTCCCTGCAGATCCCTGTGGTGTTTTCCCTCTCCAGCCAGCAAAGGGAACCAGGATATCACTTCTCAAGGACTTGGCCTGGTCCCTTCCTGAGCACCTGGAGCTCCCTGTGCAGGAGAGGGTGGTGAGGCCCTGGCACAGGTTGCCCAGAGAAGCTGTGGCTGCCCCGTCCCTGGAAGTGTCCAAGGCCAGGCTGGACGGGGCTTGGAGCAACCTGGGCTAGTGGAAGGTGTCCCTGCCATGGCAGGGGGTGGGACTGGATGGCCCTTAAGGTGTTTCTTCTAACCCAAACCATTCTGGGATTCACAGAGCCCCGTGCTCTGCTCCTGTGGGTTTGCATGGATCCATCCTCTGTGCTCCCGTGGGTTTGCAGGGATCCATCCTCTGTGCTTCCATGGGTTTGCATGGATCCATCCTCTGTGCTCCCATGGGTTTGCATGGATCCATCCTCTGTGCTCCCGTGGGTTTGCAGGGATCCATCCTCTGTGCTTCCATGGGTTTGCATGGATCCATCCTCTCTGCTCCCATGGGTTTGCAGGGATCCATCCTCTGTGCTCCTGTGGGTTTGCACGGATCCATCTGGCACTTCCCAACGTACTCCAGAACTGGGAGCAGCTGAGGCAGGGGATGTTCTCCTTGTTCCAGGAGCTCTGTCAGCTCTGTGCTGCTGTCAGGCAGCCGGAGCCCTCTCTCCACACCACAGGCTGGTGGCTTCCCGGGAATGCTGTGCTGGAACGAGTGCCCGCCCTTGGATGGAGGCATGTGCTGCTCTGGGTGCTGCTGCTTCTCTTTCAGGATCTTTAATTTGAATTGCTTTTTCTAATCCTTTTTTAAGATTATTTTCGCTCTGGCTGACCTGACTCACCCTGAGCTCCAACCCCTCCTCCCTGTCTCCTCACAGGTCTGGCCCGAAGGGTTTCAATCTATCTTGACAGAAGTAAGCAGGGAGGTGAGTGCTGCTTTCCTGTTCCTGTGCTCAGGTGGGTGGGAGGAGCTCCTTGGCCACCTTTGGGGTGGTTGGTTGGGTTTTTTGGTGTGGTTTGAATGACTGCTGGGTCCCTGTGGTTCCTGGGAAGCTTTGCTTCCACCTCTCCCATCCCTTGGCTTGTGTCTGTGTCCGTGACAGCCGTGAGGAATGCAGGGAACTCCCTGGGCAGGCACAGCCACTGCTGGGAGAAGGGAATCTCCATGTCAGACTCTCTGAGCTCCCTGCAGCCAGAGGAGGTGTGGGTGGGATGTTCAAGTCTCTCTTTTCCAGGAAGGTTTCAAAGCATCCCTGGACAAAAGGGTTGGAGTGACAGGTTCCAAAGGGGAACCACCATAAAGCTACTGTGGGTTTATTTATGACACACTTTAGCTGTAAAGATCATGGGAAAAGGAGATGCTGATGAATCTTTCCCTCCAGGAGCCTCAGAGTATGGGACTTCTGGCAAGGATATACCAAACAGGAAAGAGGGGAAATTTAGGTTAGATCTGTGGAAGGAATCCTTGGCTGTGAGGGTGGGGAGGACCTGGCACAGGTTGCCCAGAGAAGCTGTGGCTGCCCCGACCCTGGAAGTGTCCAAGGCCAGGTTGGACAGGGCCTGGAGCAATCTGGGATAGTGGAAGGCTGTGCAGGGTCTCTGAGACTCTGGATCCTGATCCCCCCTTCTCCCACAGCTGCCAAGGGCTTGGGGGGAACAGATGGTGATGTGTCAGGGTGTCCTGGGGGTGTGCAGGGCCGAGTGTCCCTGGCTGTTCGTGGTGACACCGTCACTTCAGGATGTTCATCAATTATTAATATTTGCTGACTGATGAGAGCTGGCTGTGTCTGCACTGATTAATCACCGAGGCTCTGGTGGCAGGGGGTGATTCAGAGCTCGTTAGCTCCAGTTTAGCACATCTCTCTGGCGGGGCAGGAGTTAGCAGAGGGGCTGCTGTGTTGCTGTGAGTGCCTGCCCTGCACTTCACTCCCAAATCCACCAGCAAAGGCTAAAATTAGCAGGACTTGGCTGCAGGGAATTGCCCGCTCGGTGAGGCGGGCAGGCAGCAGTTGGAGGGGATTCCGGGGCAGGCATCAGTTGGAGGGGATTGTGGGCAGGCAGCAGTTGGAGGGGATTCCGGGGCAGGCAGCAGTTGGAG